CGGTAGGTTGGGCGACCTTGGATACGAGGCTGCCTTTGCTAGCTGCCTTTTTGCCTTCGACGTTGCTGATCTTTCCCACGTTGCTCACATCCTCGAGCGCGCCGCGCTTCCTCTGGATGCCCTGGGCGTTCGCAGTCAGGGCGGACTTTTTGGTCTGGAGCACCTTCTTGGGCTCGTCGATGCCTTGTGCGGCGGCTTTGGCGCGCGTCATGCGGGTAGAGCCACTGTTCTCATCGTTCTCGTTCGAAACCAGTCGCTGCGTGCGAACCGATCTGGCCTATTGAAGCACCATGTCAGAACCCGTAAAACGCACCAAGCCGGAGGCGAATCGGTCTTCTCGCTGTAGACAATGCACAGTAGCAGGTGACAGGTACGTACGGGAGGCATCTTGGCTGCAGTGATTAGGAAAGCCGCGTGGTCGACGTAGCCGGACGTGGTTGGCAAAGAGTCTGGAGCAACAACAAGGGTCAGCGGCGACGCGTCAAAACGGAACAGGCGCGATGGTGGGAAGGTCAGGAAGCTTCAGGCTGAAGGCGACAGCAAGTGTCGTTGTACCTTTTGTTCGACTCAAGCTTCGAGGTGCAGTGGAGGGAGAGCAATCGACGCGGAAAAGGAAGCGGATTGCTTTTGACGTCTCAGCAATTGTATTCAAGGGATTCGCGTCTTTGAGGAAGCTTACAATGCGGGAAGAAAAACAATAGCAAACACGCAGGAAAAGACGACCAGAACGTCGAGGGTGCCCATTCGTGGTATATCTCAAAGAGGAGGTGGAGAGGGAAAGCAAAGTAAAGCAAGGCCAGTCGAGGAAGCGATGTTGTTTTGCTCGGGTCGGGTAGGTAGTGGGAAGACCAAGACGTGAGGTCGTGCAGAGAGGTGGGAAGTGGGTAGAAGTGGATATGTGGTGGGTACGTACCCGTCTCTGGCGGCTGGCAGACGGCGGCCCGCGAACGTGAGGGTGCACCACGACCGCGTCTGAAAGCTGGGGCTGGTCACTACGGATACCGCGTGCCACGCTTCTAATTGCTGGTGCAGATGCGCTGTGCTTGTGTGATGCTGGGGCGTCGAAATTCCTTTTTTCCACAGACCCGTTCGTGCCTAGTCAATTCGCTTGGGAACTGTCTAGAGCGTGTTGGTCGCGTCGAGGGAAAGACTGAGCACCGTACTCGGTCTTACTCGGTGAAAGTGACGCAGTAGGGCACCTAAGTAAGCGCCTGGCTGCAATGAGAATCTGCTGAAGGTGGAATAGCCCGCGGTGGGAGAATGCAGGGGAATGTCTTCTCGTGAACGGTAGGAAGGCAGGGCGGGACGAACGAAACAGATAGATGCTGGAGGGTGGATGACGAGACGGAAAGTCAGAGGGAGGCTGGGCTGAAATATGGTTGACGATGCACAAGTCTAAAGGGAGGGGTGGACGCGACGGCTCGCGCGATGCATGTCGTCGTGTCGGTGGATTCAGTCACGGTTCAGTTTGTGACATCCAGGCGCAATCCGTCGAGACAGTCAGCAGAGCCTGCCAGGTGCTGGCAGCTCTTCGTCTGCAGCTAGGCATGCCGTTGCAGGGGATCTGGGGGTTAGCATTCGCATCAACAGCAGCAACGACCCAGCAACGGCCTGACTATTGGTGTTTCGACGCGCTTGCGACCCACCCTGCCGTCACACTGGGGATCGTGGTCCGTCGCGCCAGGCCTCGTGCTAGATGTGGCAACGAGCTGTGTGGCAGTGTCGCCCACATGTGGCTGGAGAGTCTCGGCGAATCATCGGGCGAAGCAAGCCAACCTGCCCAGCCGCATGAACAGCTCAGGGTCACGATTCGAAATCTGCACCCGCACGCTACTCGACGCAGACCATCTCGACTTTGATAGCTATTGTCGGGGTTGTGCAAGCAACGCACCACTTTCCACGGCTGGCTCAGGCCAAAGAAAAAAAAAAAAAAAAAAAGGTCGACCAAAGACTCATCTGCCGCATTGAGCTTCCTCTACAGCCGAAACGGACTCGAAAGCAGAATAAACTCCCAAAACGTCGCCCATTTTCGACCAGCAATGTGCACCTGAACGGCCTGCACCTCTCGCATTCTTGACACCTGCAACGCTCCCGTAGGCCCAGTTCCAGAAGCTTGTGCTACCGCCATGATGCTGCAAACGCGTCTTTTTGCGGCTTCGCAGGCCGCTTCAGCTTTGCGGCGATCTATAGCACTGCAGCCAACGTTCGCACGCCAGTTTGCCTCCGTCCGGGCTCCGCCCACATCATCCGACCCGAAAAGCATCGACAGCTCGAATACCGTCATAAGCGAATATGCGGCACCCGATTCCACCTCTTCCCCCGTTGTCAAGGACTCGGTTATCATGCGCACGTACAAGCCTCGCACCCCTGGTGTCCGTCATCTCAAGCGTCCCATCAACGACCACTTGTGGAAAGGCAGACCGTTTCTCGCCCTGACCTTCCCGAAGAAGGGCCACGGCAAGGGTGGTCGTAACTCCACGGGCAAGGTCACTGTCAGGCACCGCGGTGGTGGTGCGAAGAGGAGGATCCGGACTGTGGACTTTGATCGAAACAAAGGAGGTCCTCACCTCGTCGACCGAATCGAATACGATCCAGGTCGGAGTGCCCACATCGCTCTCATTACCAATCAGGCCAATGGTCGTAAAAGCTACATCGTTGCCGCAGAGGGCATGCGAGCTGGCGACATCGTCCAGAGCTACCGTTCAGGCATCCCGAAGGCCCTGCTTGATAGCATGGGTGGTGTGGTTGATCCCGGTATCTTGGCCGCCAAAACTGCCTGGAGGGGAAACTGCTTGCCGATGCACATGGTTCCAGTCGGCACGGTGGTCTACAACGTCGGCTCGAGAGCCCGTGGCCCTGCCGTTTTTTGCCGCAGCGCTGGAACCCACGCCATCGTGGTTTCAAAGGAGGAGGAGACCAAGGATGATGGCACCAAGGTCATGACGGGCAAATATGTCACCGTCAGACTTCAGAGTGGCGAGGTCCGCCGAGTAAGCAAGGATGCTTGCGCTACGATAGGGGTTGCGAGCAACCCCCATCATCAGTACAGGCAACTAGGCGAGGCTGGTAGGAGTCGTTGGCTCAATATTCGCCCGACCGTCCGTGGACTTGCGATGAATTCAGGTACGCACATTGCTCCACGACCTAGCAACAAGCTGCGCGGAAAACAAGCTGACACTATCATCAGTTGACCATCCCCATGGTGGTGGCCGAGGCAAGTCGAAGGGTAACCGCCATCCCACAAGTCCCTGGGGAACACCAGTAAGTCTCCTCTTTTGAATTTACGTTTTGATACGGTTGCTAAATCGTGCGATCTAGTCCAAAGGTGGTTACAAGACGCGCCGCAAGCATAATTTCAACAAATGGGTCGTCGAGCCTCGTGTGCGCAACATGGGCAAGAGGCGTGAAAAGGCGTCCAAGGCCTAAGAAGCAACTTCGCGTGGAGCCGCTTCTGCTCATGAGAGGTTCGACTGTCTTTCCTGGGTAAAAGGACGCGGTCTATTTGTTGCATGTGTACCAACCAACCATTTTCTGTACCATAGAGCGCTGCCAGACCGGTAGCTGTACTATTCGCATCGCGGATGCTATTCAAATGTAAACAATGCCACAGATGCGGCTATGACTGTGTGATTTAATGTTCGGATTGCTTGACACCCAGGGATCAACGTCGGCTCTAGTGTGCTCAATTGCATTTGATGCGTTCTTGTTAAGGCTGTCCATCGTCACACCTTGATCGAGCGTACAGCCTATGCACATGGGTAGGCCAAGTAGCCTGAATGCCTGAACGATAAGTATGAAACGCGTCCTTGTCTTGCTCCAGAGCTAACATACCTCCTTTGCACCTCGTGATGCCGCCTTGACCTGTTGATGGCTTCCTCGGCATACCTTTCGACTGCCGAACCTCTCCCTACGCCTGAGCTGGCAGGACTACGGTTTCCATTCGGGAGAGTACTGCCCCTATGCGAGTGCGCATCATCAAGCTAATGGCACTCATTGCTGCTTGAGGGCACTTTCTTGGCAGAAACTATTCTTGTGTTTGACAACAATCACGCCGACTTACAAGTCAGCATGGCTTTGGTCACGTTCTTGCGACTCCGTGTCTGCCCTTGCGCTACCTGGATCCAGATGCTCGTAGTCTTCACGGGTTTACCAATGCAAACCACGGGCAGCGTGCCATGATAATCACGGATTAAGTATCTCCACCGACTCAAACAAACGGCTTCGCCAATGTCATTATTCCAATCACACTAAATAGCCGTGTTTGCCCTAACATGATTCGTAAACCTGCCCAAGAAAAAGTATCACCTCAAACGCCGATGCCACGATTGCTGACAAGTACCCTCCACTGCAGCTGCCTCATCAAATAAATCATTGCCGCTGTTTGAACCCATTACACCGTAGAATAACAACACCCAGCCATCAGCGTGTGATGTCGCTCCTCTTCTTTTTTTTTCTCTGTTCTTGCTCAGAAATGAGCGATGCGCTCCTCGACGCTGCCCCAGTAGACGACCGGGCGAGGCTCGAGGATGCTAAGCTCGCTGCCGAAGCTTCTGCGCTCTTCTTCCATTCCCAGGATGGACGGCTGGTGATGTATGATGCTGTTGATGGTGTTAGCCGGCGACGAAATGACGCTGGCGCCGCACGAGTCCCGATCGCTGCTGGCGCGGGACGAGGCGGAGGACGAGCGGCGGAATGATGCCCGGAGGCTGCTGGAGGAGAAGCGAGCCGTGATGGCTTGGAATCGCGGAGAGGCGTGCATTTTGCTATCCTTTTCTGGTTGACGTGCCACGGGTGGTGATACCCAAGGCAAGGCTTCCTTGCTGGGAGTGGTCCGGACTTTGTGTGTTTGTGTGTGTGTGTGACGGGAATGGCGACGCAGATGGCTGTGCGAAAGTTGGTGTAGATGATGTAACGCAAGGCACAGCCTATCGCCTCCAGAGACGCGGGAATCAAGTGTCAAACGAGAGACGAGAAAAGATGAATGTACGATTAAAGATAGGACCGTCCACACAGCAGACGAAACGATGGCCAAAATAGGATTCTTGGGGCGTGCAAATCACGGCTAGTAGCTACTGTCGGTCGAGGGACTACGGCCACCCTTTAATACATCCAGCAGACACGGGAAGGGGGCCTTCTCTGATCACCGACCGTTCAAGCCGCTACAAGAACTCCAGGGGTTTGGAGCAGGTTGTTGTGATGGCCATTGACCCTTCTCAGGGGCTCGACGTGTGTGATCGCTGACCGGGGTTTGAGAGGCGGGGGGCGGGGCCCAGGGCCCAAGCCGCAAGGACCAAATAAGTCCGGTGAGACGGTGCACGGCTCGTTTCAACCTGACAGCCAGCATGATTGTCTCCAGGTAACCACCTCATTCGGCTCGACTAAGTACTGACCTGCGACTTGTCTGAGATGCAGCTGGGGTTCTCGACTGCAGGAGTTCGAGTTCCTGCGGCGCCATGCAGGCAAAACCTTGACATCAAACCATCGTGCCGGGCGGCGGACAGCCCCCCTTTTGGTGTGATGGGAAGCTGGCGATGACCGCTCATGTTCAAGTGGCCTCTGTTCAGGCCCTGCGCCTCACACAAGGTAGCCTCCTGCTGGACGTGAATTCCCCGATCAATACAGCCGATTCAACAGGCCTGGTCATGATGGCTTGGTGCAAATCTTGTTTGTCTATCCATCCTAAGGTACCTACCTACCTAGGAAACCAGCTATGTCTGGAACGTCCACGACGGCCCGTTGACGCAATCCCTCGAACGCCATCGCTTGAAGACAATACGCACGCGCCCATTCGGCCGTCACACTCATTATGCAACCCCCGGATCCTTCTCCCAACTCAGTAATTGCTCCAGTCTGGCTTCCGTACTGTGGCGCTCCGCCTGATGCTCTCAACCCAAACCGAGTCGTCGAGGATGTTGCTGACCTGCGCCGGACTAACCGCGCTTGTTCGTCGACTGTTCTCCCCCGATCCCAAGCCAGGTTCCTGTAGCTCAAAGCTAAACGCTGAATTGGCCGATTGATGGCTTGGCGACGACGGGCCTGACCGAGGGAAGCTCAACGGATGTTGGTATTCACCGTCGAGGCCTGGTCCCTGGAGATCGGATGATCCTGACCAGCTCCTGTGATGCGCCCGATCTGCGTCTTCTGCACTGAGCAGGGTCGACTTACCCTGGCCGCTTTGACGGATCGTTGGTGTCTGCTGCTTACTACCGTCCTCGTCATCCACGAAGATGTGCGGAATATCCAACTGCGGGACTGCGGTCATCCGTCCCGCTTGCTTGCGTTCCTTGTGCTTCTTGAACTGTCGAGAATAGTATCTAAAGCCTTGTCAGCATCCAGGGTCACAAGTCCGCATTCAAGGTGATGCCGGGAAACTCACAAAGTGTCGAAGAAGCCTAGGACAATTCTTCGCCGCACTTCTTCGTCAACTCGCTGTAACCTGGCGCGGCGGCGCAGGAACTCTTCCAGCCTGATGGGCGTTATCGGCCTGGGTCAGCATACGTTCCAAGAATTAACCCCATCTCAATTGTCGCTAACCTTAGACTTTTGCTATCGCTGATGATGTTGTAATGAGCCAATATCATCAGGACAGTAGTGAAAGAGATGCCTCGGTCGGGGTCAGCTGAGACCATGACCTCTTCGAAGAAGATGTTGAAACGTCGTCTTCGTTCTCGAACTCTGACCACGTCGATCTGGGCTAGACGCCGGTTAAGCCTGTCGATATCTACCCCGCTGTAGGCGCTTGTGGTTGCTATCGACGTGTGTCTGGAAACCGCCGCATCGTTACGTACATCCTCCAAGATGCGACTCACCGAATCATCCGCGTCGTAGATACGCATTTCAAAAACTCCCGAAAGCTCCCCCAGTAATCGCGGGAATACGTCTTTGCTGATCCACCCCGTCCCGGCTGGGTCAACGCTGCGCCACGCCTCCTTGAATCGACGAATCTCGTCCCGATCAACCGCTGCTAGACCGCTGGATCGCTGGTAGACGTAACTGAAACTCTCGTAAATGAGCGAGACGAAGAGGTTCACAAAGATGTACATGCTCAGGATGTTCCAGGCAACGAACAAGAAACGCGCCCAAGGCTTGCTGCCACAGTCGCTCTGGAAGAAGTCCTCATCATCAACGCAGAAGGGTGGCTCAATATTCGCGTAGTCTTCCATCACGATATTCCACCCTTCACCGCAGCTCATGCGAAACAGTAGGATGAGCGCGTGCGGTACGGTTCGAAAGTTGATGTTACTACTCTCTTGCGACCCGAATCGAGTGAGACTGAATGCCTGCGTCAGCGCGATAGCGAAGACAAGGAAGAAGACCAGCCATGTTGCCAAGAGATTACCAATCGTGGTAAGACTGGCAGCAGCTGTCTTGAAGAGCTGGTCAAGGGCGTCATTTCTCGGGATGAGGAGGAGGACGATGGCGACCAGGAAGAATTTGTGGATCTGAACATATGTCTCGCCTTCAAGAATGGTCCCTCCGCTGGAAGCCCTGAGGATCAAGAGAATCGTAGTCGAGACGAATGCGCCTGCCACAGCAAGTAGCGAGTACATGTCCCAGGAACTCCTGCGGAACCGAGCCCAGCCCAGGCCGAAGATTCGGATGGAGACATTCGCCATGTAGACCAGTACAAAAGCCAGGAAGAGGAAATCCCTCATCCGGGACCACCATTCGGGCTCTTCGCGGAATTCCATCATTAGGAGAACCAAGTGTAAGCACAAGACGTAAGTCATGCCTTGGTACCATTTGCCCCTTTTCTCTATTGCGCGTTTGTGACACCACTTCTTCCAAGTGTGCTCTGAGGCATCATACGAAGTCTTTGACGGTGAAATATGTTGAAGCAGCTTTCGAAGTTCGAGCCACGATCTTTGTTCAGCCGTCAAGAAGGCGACTCCAGTCTGTTCAGTGTAGTTCCGCATAAAGACGGCAATAAACAGCGTCAATACGAAGACGGTTCCAAGCAGGTTGTAAACGATGAAGAACATGGCGTTGCCCTGGGATGCAAGGCTTTGGGGCTGGAGACCGGGGCCTGTTACGGCCTGTGCTGCGAAAGAAACATCCACCCAACCCTCTTGGCTGAGAATCGAAAAGAGAATGAAGATGGAGTTGCCAAAGTTGTCAAAGTTGAAGTAGTCGTTTGAGGCGACACGGGGCGCGAGCATGGGCCACTCGTCATTGAAAGGTGTGCTGTTGAATTCGCCAAAACAATCGACCAGCCGAACAATAGCGCCATCATTGTCATCGTTGCACGATATCATGAGGCCGTTGAAAAGGTTGAGGCCGTAAACAGCGAAAGGGATTAGCAGTGAGATGGACACGAAAGATGCCTGCCGAGAAAGTCCGGATTAGAGAAAAGCTCTCACGGAGGCAGAGATGGCGACTTACACTCAGAATTTTCCAGCCACTGACGATAATGAGGGAATGGAAAGTATCTCTGGCACTGTCGCTGACGTTGAGGAGACGTAGAGCACGCAAAGCCTTGAAGGCACCGATTGCTCGGGATATCTCTCCATCTTTGGCCAAGAGAGTACCGACATTGATCAGGAGAGTGGCGAGTACGATACCATCAATGATGCCCCAGGAGCTTCGGTAGTAGGCGTTCGGCGTGAAAAAGAAGCCATCCGCAATAACCTTGATCACAGCCTCCACGAAAAAGACTATCGCGAATGCCATGTCTGTCCAGACGTACCAGAAGGTGATACTAAACTCCGGATGCTGCTCTTGGTACTCTTTTTGGTACAGCGGGGTCGTGACACAAGCAATGATTACCATCGCTACGATAACAGCATAAATGAACACGCTAAAAGTGTACCAGGCGATCTTGTTGGGCTCGACGCCATCGAACCGCTCGCTGCCTCTGCCAGGTCCCACCAACCTTTGACAGGCACGACGGAGAGGGTTATGCGGGGTTAAGAAGAATAGGGAATTATTATACTTCGGATGACGCGCAAGATACTCTCTCTGGGCTTTGCGTCTGGCCGACGTGGCAGAGACAACCTGACGCGCCATCTGTCGAGGATCGAGTGTTTCATTGGTGCCCTCGAAGCGTATGTTTGAGTAAAATGGATTGGGATCTTTGCCACTCATCCGCGCGACAAGTTTGCCCCACCACTTCGAGAGAAAACCAGGCTTCACGTCTCCGACAGCAAACGTAGTTGCACGGGGCGCAAGATGCGCTCTCTCGTTGTGCTGGGTTTCTTGAGATGCCTCTTCCGAATCATCAAGAAAGTCTCGGACGACTGCATCCTTGAGCAGCATCTCCATCATAGCTGGGCCATAGTCGAGGGGATCCTTTTTTCTTCTGGCTCTGCCAAACGAGAAAATGGTGGATAGAGAGAGGTTGCTCGATGATTTTCCAAGTTCCTTCTTTTGTAGAAATGCCTTAACTTGTTCCAGTCGCTTTTCGTCCTCGCTTACGTCGAAGTTTTCCTGAATGACAGCAATAAACATATTGACGAGAATCAAGAAGGCCAAGATGAACCATCCAATTAGGAAGACAGCTCCGACCCAAGACGTACCGAAGGGCAGCGAAGTTTCGGTCACCTCATAGAGAATCGAGGTCCAGTCTTCGCTCGACAAGATTTGCCACATACCCAGAAAAGAATTGTACACGTTGAAGAACGATATGTCTTCCTCCTGCGATATCTCGCCGCGGAACAGCTGAACGGCAAAGAGCGCCATGATGAAGGTGATTAGGAAGACAAAGAGCATCAAGTTCCAGATACCCGTCGCGTTGCCCAGAACCCGCCGAATGAGGTTCCCTGTGATTGGAACAGCGAGGACAACTCGGTAGATTCGAAGAATCTGAAATATGGTCAAGTAGGCGTACACCTGTCCTGCATTCCGTATCGGTGGGAGGAGGATTATGGACGTCGTGACGGCCAAAAATAGATCGAAGAGATTCTTCCACGTGCGATGGAACCCGCGCCAGTCTGCCGCGAATCTTATGATTATTTCCACGTCGAGAAGGAGGGTTGTGACGACCTCAGCGGCATCAATGAAAGCGGCGCGTCCACTGGACATCGTGGCGCTGCGGAAACACTGCGCCATAAGGCCGAGTGAGATGACAGCGATCCATATCAACGAAGTCTTGTCATATAGTGTTTGTAGACGAGACACGGGAAGCGGCGGCACCTTTTCTTTTGGTGGACTTAGTGGATCTCGCTCCACGGTGAAAGCACTAGCTCTGCTTTCTTCCCTGATAACTTGGAAAGAGGACGTGATGACGGCAATGAGCAGGTTGATCAGCCAGAGCATCAGGATCATGATTCCTGCACCGAAGTACAGGGCAGCGGGGAGGTAATCCGAGTCTGTCGTGTAATACATGATGTCTGTAAATGTATTGGTACTCATGATCACGAATACCATCTCAAGAGACTGGAGGATATTATCGAAGCTCACGGTGCCTCCATGTGGATTACTGCCTTGGAGGCATATTGATCCTCGAGGACAGATGAAGCCTTTCCCAGCAAGACTGCCGGGTACCAAAGTCGCCAGGTCATCCTCGTCCTTCGCGAATACCCAAGGCTCGGTGCCATTGGATGTTTGATTGAGGTAGCCGCCGCAGAACTGAAACTCGTTGACGAAAGCTCTGGACCGGTCCGCTGGCGCATCAGGGTCAAGCCACACGCAATGACGGCTCAGGCTAGACTTGAAGCTCTGAACGCCAATAATGGCAAATAGAAGCCAAAAGAAAATGATGAGGAAGGCGATTCGGACAAGTAGCGGCGCTGCCTTCTTGAGACTTCGAAGGATAATCTGGGCAGGTTAGCTTTCAGAATCCACGTCGAGCAAAACCATCATCAACTTACGGCAGTTCCGTTCGTGATAGCCAGCAAGCGTAGAATTCGCAGGCAGCTGATCATTCGAAACACGTACATGTGATGTTTACTTTCCAGGCCAGTGATCGCTAGGACAAATGTGATCCAATAAGCGACAACGGCAAGGAAGTCCAGTCGATTGAATGAGTGTCGCATGAAAGCTCGACGTGCGAGCTGATAACGCTGGTGCTCTTCAACCGTTTGAGGGACCGGTTGCCCTTGCATGAAGGTGAGAGACCGGGCAAAAGCAGACGGCCCCAAGTTGATCTGACGAGGCGCCTTTACAGACTTCTGACGTTGCGGTTGAAATAGGGCTCTGTACTGGTCGGTGACCGCAGCCCGAACTCCTCGTTTGCGGTCGATGGTGCTATATTCTGAGGCATTCAGGATGAAACCAGAAACAATTATTCGCGCAACGAGCTCGAGTGTAAAAACAATAAAGAGACCAAGCATGGCATAATCGATCCATGTTGTTCCCCATGTGGAAGGCCGTTCATTGCCGTCCTCAAAGACGTTGGGGGCTGCCTCAATCGTCAGGAGGACCGTTTGGAAGATGATGAGGACGAGAATCATGGGCTCGGTGAATGGATGAACGAGGAAGTCGCATAGCTTCCTCCTAACAATGCTTTTGGAAGAGAAAACACCCAGGGATTTGCCCTTGAGCGGGTTTGACATTGGGGGTCGAGAGGCTACACTGACATGCGGATCGACGGAGAGGAAGCCGCCTGCGGGTTCCTTCTCTACAGGATGTTGAGTTGTATGCGAGGGGTAGGACGTATCCACGTTAAACATGTGGCCCGAGTTGTATTGTTGCCGTCTACGATCCTCGCTCGGGGATCGCGATCGCTGAAAGGACGTTCGATGGTCAGCGAGTTCGCCTTCGCCGCTACTGATGTTCACAACGCGCTGTGACATGGCCCGCATGATGGACCCTGCGCGGTGAAGGGCCTCCGACGTGGAAGGAGAGCGAGATCGCCTGTTGTCCCCCGGCGTCAAAGTCTGGCCGTAACTCAAGCGACCAGCAGCGCCGGGTTCCAGGTCATATCCGAGCGATCTGACATCACGGCCGCGAGAAGGAGAGGCATCGATGTCGGAAACGGTCTGCAAGCTATCCCGTGGCTGTGCCTCGGCCTCACGAACACCCAATGATCGGGCTATGGGTTGGACATGCGAGGTGAGGGGCACACTGTCCGACTCGAAGTAGTCCGGATTTGTGGGCTCGTCGTAGTAAGGATTTGGCGAATCGTATGGGTCGGCAGAAGCTGATAATGTTCGCCCGAAGGCCGGTGGAGGTTGGTGTATCTCGGGCGGGAGGGCAAACTGTAACGCTGTTGGATCAATGGGTGATTCAGGGCCTAAGGCACCCTCATTAGGTCGAGCGGCGTATGGCAGTTGCCAATAATTTGAGAGCCCAGGTTGTCCCGCAGGTGCTTGATCTGTAGTGGGCGTGGTAGCCGGATCTCGAGCACTGCTGGGTCGGCCAGCCGGCGGAGGCTGAAGATGGCTGCTCCGCGGGCTGACCTGCTCGTCTGACGTAGATGTCATCTCGGGATGTTTTAAAACGAGTGTCGGGCGGTTCAGGGTATTAGGTGAGTCGGGGCAAGATGCTCGGCGAGAAACAAGAAGATCCAGTCATCTGCATCGAGAGCACTCGTTGACGTGTATACTATCCGAGGTTTGTTCTGGGCTGCATTGCGGTAATCGAACGGTGTCGTCGTGTATGTGATTGCGATGTCAAAAGGGGTCCAAGCCGGACCAAAAGGAATTCGCGCGTTGAAAGAACGATCGCGAAGGGTTGCCTTGAGTGATTGGGAAAGCGAGAGTCCAGGCTTGCCACGCTCCTGAGTGTCGAAACGGAAAGAAGATGGGATGCGACACCAAACTGCTCGCTCGAGAATCCGTCAGTGCCTGTTCAGTCCCTGGGAGATGTTGGAGCTCCCACCATTCCAAGTGGATCTTGCACAGTGCAAAACTGGTGCTATGTTTGGCAACCTTGGACATTCCCCTGCAGCGATACGAGATCGGCAGGAGGACCAACAAACGTGCCAGACAGTGTGCGGGTCTGACACGGGACGGCCTCCTTGACCAAGGGGAACGAACAGGAGCCCCCCCAGAGGACCTGCTCCAAGAGCCGAACTCACATTCCTGCATGGTCAGCCGCACTAGTCCATCAGCCCAAGCCAACCTACCGACTTTCAGTACCGTGAGCTACATATCTTTGTGTTCCTCAACAATACTATCAAAAGTACTCTAAGGTATCCTTCCCAACGCGTCTGGAGAGCGCCCACCGCGCCTCAGCTCTGACAGCGATCTTTGGTAGGAAATCGACCTTACGCTACTACGAAAACCCCATGCTGATTGCGTATTCCGACAACCCATCAGGAGCAAGTCGCGATCAATCGAACGGACCTTTCTCCAACAAACGATCATCTATCTCTCCAACCCTCTGCGCTCTTGCGACTCTGCTCAGGCAGCCAGAACCGAAAACGCGAGCCTGGGTCACCCACCTCCGACACACAACCTCATTTGCACAACTCATAGCAGACTTCCGACACGCCTCTGCAACTCCTTTGCGCCCCACGAACCGACTATACAAGCCACGGCAAGCATATAGAAGTGTGTCGAAAGAGGATAACACAGAGACCGGCCTTGTGCCACTCTTCACTGTCAAGATCCTCGTTGTGGCTGTGCGCGCATCGTTGCCTCTGATATATGACCATGGTCTCCGGCAGCAAACGCGCGATCCACGAGGTCAGCGGCGACGTCGTCGCGGATGACGATGTTCCTCTGCTGCACCGCATTCGCAATATGTGGCAGTTCGCCAACCTCTGCCAATGGATCTACCTTTTCGGTAAGGTCGTTAAGTTGGACGACCGGCTCGATACCGAAGTAGGTCACTTGCGTGCCGAGCCGACCACACCACTGTGCACCGGCTTTCCATCCCACAACAACACTGACCAGGTGCCAGGAAATCGAAGCCGAATGTCTGAAGCCCAACTCGCTCGTGCTTCAAGAAATTGGACTGGCTCTTCTCAAGAACGTTTCATCTCATCGTGGTCTTACGTAGGTTTCACGTGGTATCCTAACGGATGATAATCGAAGACAACTAACTCGCAATATCTTGATAGCCATGAGATCTTTGACGAGTACACAAGGAGGCAGTACATGGCTAAGGCTCCCGAGAAGAACCCCTTTGGGGCACAGGAAACACCGGCCAAGTTCGCAGAATTTGATGCGTTGACAAAGGTATGGTAGATCTGCGTTGACTTCTTTACTACTTGGCATGATCCGTCTGACTCGACATGCGCTTAGATTCGAGTACTGCAACAACTCACACAATGGGTGATGCGCCATCCTGATCGGTTACGAGACAAGATGGGAGAGCCCAAAGACGTTGAACAGACCAACTGGGTCAGTCCTTGTCAACCCACTCCTTTCAAACCCGCGAACCTCTGACTCGCTATACAGAGAATCGAGCCAATTGGCTGGGATGCTGACGACAGGACCTACTACGTGCTCGATGACAATAGAGTCTACCGGATGACTGACGCGCCACCACCAACACCGCCCAAGAAGAGAACGAAGGCCGCAAGACAAGGTCGTAGGGCCAGCAAGAGACGCAGGACCAATACAAGCGTGGAGGCCGAGGACACAGATGACCCTATTGAACCGCCGAAAAGAGTATCAGAAGGACTAGGTCGCCAGGATGAAGACTTTGGAGGCATGCTGTGGGAATGCGTCGCGATCACGCTCGACGACGTACGTGGACTGATTGCTTCTTTCGCCAAGACTCGAGACGAGAATGAAAAGGTGCTCAAGTCTCAACTGGAAGAGCATCTTCTTCCCATTCTTGAGAAGCAGGAAGAATCGAGGAAACGCAAGGCTCTCCAGCGGGAAAGGGAGCTCATCAACTTATCGAAGATGGTCAATGCGAAGCGGTCAAGCCGCCTCGCCAATAAACACGAACAGCAGCTCGCCGAAGAGCAAGCCCGCGAAGAGGAACAGCGTCGAGCGGTAGAAGAAGCCGCTGCTCGGAAAGCGGAGCTGAAGCAAATGAAACTGGAGGCGGAACGCAACAGGCGACTGGCTTCCCGGGAGAATCGCCTCAAAGACCGCGAAGCACGTCGTCTCAAGCACGAAGATGAGCTCTCCAACCTCTCGGAGGATAGCCGCAGTGCTAGTCAAGGACCTGGCAGGTTGTCTGACCGGCAAAGACACGCGGAGATTTTGAGGACGAAGCAAGCCCTCCAGAAACTTGATGACGAGGATGAGGGGGACGACTGGATCTTTGATTGTGTCTGTGGAGTGTATGGACAAGTGGACGATGGCACTCATAGCATTGCATGTGAACAGTGCAATGTTTGGCAACATAGCAAATGCGTGGGAGTGCGAGAAGACGAAGCCGAAGAGTCTGACTTTCACTTTATTTGCTCGTCCTGCCGACGGGCGAAAGACGATGACCCACAAGCGAGAACCATCATCCGGCTCAAGATCAACCGCCCACACACCGACGCGCCTCTCGATGCCGCACCGGACTTCGAACAGCCCTCGAGTGGAGCCGCAGAGAAGACGAAGCCTGCTGTCGACCTGTTTGACAGCAAGGCTAAACTCGGGGCCGGAGCAGTCACGGATAAAGACCTAGACGAATCGAAGACACCTTCTGATCTCGAGGCACCCGTTCACGTTGAGCCCAAGCCAGTACCTGTCACCCCGGGCATGACGAGATCAGACGGCCATCCGGCGACGAGCTTCCCACCGCTCAGCCATGCATCAGTAAACGAAACCCCAAGGTTACGGGGCTCGACAAGTCCGGTGCGACCGGCTGATGGCCTGTCTTCACCCATTTCTCGGAGCATACTGGCGACCCCGATTCTCAGCCAGGAAGGCAAACGTGTAGAGGCGGCCCATGCCTCAACGCTGCCCTCAACTGAATCCGGCTTCTCTCCGACTAAACAATCACCTGCCCCACTACCACGACCCCGATCAGCCTCCTCCAAAACCAGCAGCGTGCCTGCCGTATTTCCACCCACAATGACACTGGCACCATCCCCCCAGCAGCCAATCCTTACGCCCCCTGAAAAACAAGCGGAACCTGCTCGACCACAACCTTCCGATATTTTTCGAGCCTCGTGACGCATCTGTCACAATACTATAGACTTGGCATATGAGGGCGCGGAGAGGCTGCGCTCACTAGCTTGCAGGTCATTTGGGGCGGGGGGGGCACGAATGGAAAATGTGTGTCAGTAAAGACAGGCTGGACAGGAAAGTGGCAAACTTGGACAGCGTGCCTACGCGGGGTGTAGAGGGTGCAGGACGTCAAGGTGCAGCCCAGTCAAGTCTGGTGCTGAGCAGCGCCAGCCAGATAGAGGCCAATGCAGATGTATTGAGCACCTGCTGCACTACGTATCTATGCTCGCTCAGTAGGCAGCCGAATGAATTGACGATGAGTATGCAGGTACGGTGGTAGCTCGGGTTTGAGGTATTAGTAGCGAAGGCGCCATGTCACGTCAGGCATGAACAAGCCAGTGGGACGAGCCAACCAAGCGTGCAAATCACTGTGTCGAGTGGAAGCTTTCCCGCAAATGACGGCCGCTACGCCTCAGGTGAATCGGTTGAGATTGCCAGGATGGTCTGACGTGGTGCTGGTTTTTGCTGTACTGTATAATGGGGCTCCATATATCCTATTGAGAAAGACATGAATGGAATCGAAAAGGGAGAACCCACCGTGGAAGGGGTCTGGAAGGGGATGCAGGGAGAAAGAAGCAGGCTGATGAATGAACGAAACAGGGGCCAAGAGGTGGGCCAAAGGATGGAGGACGAATAAGATTTCTGGTTTGGGTCTGTAATCGGCCAGGTCACAATGCAAGTCCCGACATATTGGCTGGCCACACATGATGGCCCTGGCACACCATGAACAGAGGGCGGAGGCAGACGGGTCAGAAGCAGAGCAAGCGCCACAGCCTGCAAGATAGCGCCAAATGATAAAAAAAAAACCATACTGGGGGACAGAACAATCATTTCTGGATGGACCTAGACAAGCGCCACATGAGATGGTTGGAGGTTGACCAATCGTGGGCGACGCCACCAACGGTTCCGGCAGCACCACGACAAACGCATCGCTCGGCACATTCCAACTGTCCATCAACCCAGCTGTTCGCGCATCCATGACATCCACATGGGTCACGGTCGATTCCACTGCCAACTATAGGTGTGAGGCAACTGCTTCCACTCCATTTCTGCCGTGGAATACTTCCATCCGAGGTACCTTGGTCGGGGCTCAAGACAAGCTTCACAGCAGCGACCAGCAGCCAACACCAATACCAGGAATGATCTGGCACTGAGGCAGGGTGACCCTGAAACTGGGCCTGTAGCTGCATATTGATCCAGCTCGCCAAATACAACCCCACGGCTGTTTCCCGCACAGGCCCGGTTGACGTTTCTGTCGGATCAGTTGTGTGTCCACCGGGCACGCGCGAACTGGTGGAGGAGCAAGGGAGAGAGAGGACACGGGGAACCGCTCGCGGGAGAGAGGCTCTAGGGCCCTGGCCGGGCACAGCAACCAGGCCCCCCAACCCGTTGTTCATATTCCGAATGATTGTTGCCCTCCCTTGGCGCGGCAGTGCGTGATGTATCTGCCACTGCCACCGCGGGATGTTCTGGTTTCAGTGGCGTTGCTGGTCATTGCTCCCATTAACCTAGCACGGTTCAACCCTGTTTTGTTCTGCCTGTAGCTGTCGCAAAGTGCTGACAATACAACGCCATTGGAAGGGGGGTATACAGTGTTACTCTGTTGACTGCCACCCAACACTGTTGTGGGGGCGTTGCTGGTAGCAGCAGGGTCGGCATGGCGGAGACTGGAACTGGTGCAGACGCGGATGCAGACGCACGCGCTGGCTCGTGAAGGAGATGATTCCAAAAGAAAATGCTAAGTTGAGGTTTGGTTCCCGGGTCGCATGGCACGCGGGGCGATGGAGAAGGTACAGTTGACAGACAACGTGGGAAAACCCTGCTCATGAGGATTGTTCGATATAGGCCCAGCAAGAATGTCTTGGGGAAATAGCAGACGGCCTATGTAGGGCTGGATTGGGCTGGGCTGGACTGGGTTGGCCTTGCCAGGAAGGCGAGCTGTCTCCAGGAACGGCATGGCAAGGTCAACCAGTAAGTGCCGTTCGCCCCTCCTCTACCCCCTCCTCCACTCGCTCTACCTCATCACCTCTCTTCTCCCCCCACCTTGTTCCCCGACCATGACATCGCCTGTGATCCCGGATCCATGCACGGCCGAATGCGGCAGTACACTAGATGTCCTTTCGGACGAAGAGAAGCCAACCATGGCCGCCATCATGGCTAGCCCGGGATATCCCAAAGAGGAGCACATGAGTACCATACAAAAGAATCTCACCCCGATCCCCTCTTCATCCCAGCTCTCTTTCTTCTGGATTTAGATCACCATGGAAGTGACAACAAAGGAGGCCCCCTTGCCTTCTCTAGCCCCCGCTCTCCGGCCCAGGTAACCAACAACCCGAAGACACAGACACACAGAGCCCCAGAAGAAAGAAACCATATACCCAAAAGCCCCTCAGGTGACAGCCTGTCACCCACGAGGCGGCCCTGTCGCCATAAAGAAACGACTTTCACTCACAGCCATCTGCCCTTGACGTGGCACACACCATTCCGACATTGCTGCAGCCTCCGGAGTAGCCGTCTCGCAGTTCCGATTCAATCCCTGTCCGATCGGCTGCTTGCGAATCGTCCACCAAGTTACTCTATTCCTGGACTTGCAGCCTTGGCTGCACTGGCGTGGCAGACAAACCACCTGAGACTCCAACTGCCTTACCTGACCTGCCTTGCCTCGCCTTACATGCCCCTCACACCCTCCCCCGTATACTTGTATACCTTATGCAGGTACAGCAGCGTCCACCATCGACTCACGGCAACTAATAACCTTCGACGCTGGCTGCTACGATACCTCTTTCTTCTTCCAATTCCCCAAACTCCATGATCTTCCTCGACCCAGGCAATCATCCCAGAGACCTCCGCCCATCATTAGGAACGCCGCCCTCCGATACCTGAACCTGGTTACAGCTTGGGTTTTGTCTCACAGCATCTTCCGTCAGCCTCAGCATCTTGACATTTTCTTTTATCGGGAATACATCTGTTGGACCCTATCGCGCTCGGTCGTCTGCCCGCTCATATCCCGGGACCCCCAGAACCACACATCAGTCTCTTCGGCCTCACTTGGTTTTCTACGGCGCAGTTGATTAAAAGTGACGCCTCGTCCTGTCATCGCCTTTACCCTTACCAAAGGTACACCCGGTATCTCCATTTGGAATGGAACAGACAGGACCTCCCTCTCCAGCTCCCTCGAATGATGATATCTATCACGACGGCCTTCATCATCTGATTCGACACAACAACGCGACGTCATACCCAAGAGATCAGCATAACCCCGAAGATAATCTCATGGGGCATCCAGCCTCCCAGTCAAGGTACGGGACCCCAGACCCACAGCATGATCGACCATACGACCAATCTTCGCCGTATTCCCACCGCGCCCAGGATGGGCAAATTGTGAGTCTCCCGCCTATTGCGTGTATTGGGCTGTGCTGACGGTCTGACAGTCATATCAGTCAAGCTACGATCCAACAGCCACACCATACGCATCGATGAGCGGCATGACACATCAGGTAAGATCCATTGCAATAGCCTCCATGCTATCGACAGCAGCTTACGAAGAACGACACAGCCCTACAGTACTCCGGATACGTCGCCCCCAACGCCCTCCCGGAGTTCGGATATGATTACTACCCGTAGTGGGTTAACCATTCAAAAACGAGCAACGACGATCAAGCCCCTCGCTGCCCATGCCCCTCGAGTGGAGAAGGCTTCACCGCGAAAGAAGAAGGAACGCAGCAAAGTATCGAAAAAGATGGACGGCGTCCAGAAGCCGCTGAGTGAGCTGGCGCAAGAGAATCCGCAGATTTTCGTGGCAGACATCAACGCCTACGTGAACAGGCCAATTGAAGAGCGTCTGAAAGAGGTCGAGGAGAGCAAAACGCCGGGCAAGATCAAACGTCCCATGAACGCATTCATGCTCTATCGCAAAGCATACCAGAACCTTGCCAAAAGCCTCTGCACACAGAACAACCACCAAGTCGTTTCGCAAGTTTGCGGCAGTGGATGGCCATTGGAGTCTGAACTGATTCGCCAGCAATTTAACGACTGGGCCAAGCTCGAGCGCCTGAATCACCAAGAAGCTCATCCAGGTTATAAGTTTACCCCTTCGAAACCGAAACCTAAAGCCCGGGTGGAAGACGACCAGCCGTCAGATGATGGGAACTTGGACGGCTTTGACTGGGCTGCAGGGCCCATGTCTTCCAGGGGTCGGGAGATGAAGGCACGCAGGCCCCAGGGACAGTACGACGCCCCACCTTCGATCTATCATTCGTACGCTGGCGCCGCGGGAAGTCCGCCTATGGGCCTTGGTATCCCATCTCATTCAATGTATCAATACAGCAACCCTGGAAAGCCCCCGCCGGCTCCTTACACTCACAGTGGCCTGCCACCTGGCCAGTATTACCAACAAAGCGTACAACAGCGACATGATGGTGTTGGCTTTGTAGAGGACGTTGTGATCAGAAGGCCACAATCACCAACGATGGCATATGCCTCCATGCCGCAAAGTGAACGACATGACGCGATGGGACATTTTGGTCATATGCAGCACCACGTCGGCGGATTGGAGTCATTTGTTGACACCGGAATGATTGGCGCGGACGCCTTGCCGTACGGCGCTGGTGGTTACAGTGACCCGCTTCTGGACGGTCACCACAGATGGCCAAACCCTCTCGATCTGGGTGACACCAGGCAGGACTTAATGGACGGAATTCCCGGAGGGATGTACGACGATTCGTACCTAGACCCGCAGTTACAGTTGCTGCGAGGCCAAGATAGCAGTTGGAAGGTGGAGGAGCTGGACGGAAGCCATTTCAACAGTTGGATGGATCCGTCAGAGTAATCGCCAGAGTACTCTTGAACTTACGACGTTTTTTTTTTGTTTTAGCAGCATTCCATCAATTGCAACAAAGTTCCAGGATGATTGACTGAGGGAGCGGCAGGTCTCCGAACTAGACGGGATCTGGAGTTAGGGGCGGAGTTCCTTTCACTTTTGTTCTTTTTTGGGGTACCAAACTGGAGGTATGCGACACGCATTGCATTTCGATCCTTAGATGATGATGGTTGCAGTTTCGTTTCCGGCGAAAAGTGCGTGGTGTGTGGAAGTATGGAATGCTAGACGGGCGTTCCTCGATTCGTTTCCGGACATTAGATGCAAAGAAAGGACTACCATTTGGACAATAGGATTGTTGGAATGTGGTTCAGAATAGTACATAAAGTGGATATATTGATATTTCTTTAAGGGCATTACCGGGAATATGGCTTGTGCTGGGGCACCTCAGGGTTCTGCCAAGACGTCCCCTATACTGAAGTACCTACCTTATGCAACTTAGGTAATCAAGAATAACGTCGTTCGCCAGCAATGTGCTCTGTGATGCCACCCCACACAAGCTACCTGCGCTCACTCGCCGACCTCAGTAATTCTCGCCTGGGATCCCGCGATACTGGACAACTCCGAACCCTGTCGCAAGAAAGGAACGAAGCCTGCAACAAACTCAGTTCAAAGCATCAATCTCTTAGCTCTCTCGCCTGGTCTTTCTAGTCAAACAGCACCACCCGCCTATCAAGATGACGTGGATCTCCCGCTCCGTCACTGCCGTCGGACTTTTGTTGCTAAGCCATGCGTGAGTTGTGTGTTCAGTTGTTGCAAGGCATCATCCTCCTACACTACTGACACGCATCGTTTCTCTTAGTTGTTACTCTGCACAAGAACACTCGACGCTCCAGTCCTTCGGCGCCACATCATCTCTGTCCGCGACAAATCCAGGAACCTCGCTTCCCGCCGATATTGTCATCGAGACAATTGTCGCTACTCTTCTGGTGTGCCTGGGCCTCATCACGGGCGCCTCCAATTTCCGACCGATTCAGTGGCGCGTGTGGGCAGGCAAGATTGAGCGCGAAGGTGAGGCTGGATTTCTGAACGGCAACGGAGTTTCCGACAATGACTATGTTGGCAACCCATTTCGCATTCTCGAAAGTCGACCGGGTTTTGTCGATATTCGGAAAGAGAGGCGCGACTTTGCTGAATGGATCAAAGATGGCGAGAAGTCCAGCACAAGCTGAATATTCATTCGGGAAAGGACTGCCATCCGGGGTCTGCTCCCTGTCAGGTGCAGGTCTGAGAGGGAATCGAGAATCGGCAAGAGTTTTAGCGATGCTGTAGGGGCTACGCGAACTTCATGACGTGTCCGGCCACACGTACGTCGTGGTGATGACGACGCCAGAACGGTCGCGGCGCAGAGGTCACTGCCAGTCTATGTATTCGTTATGCCGTCCGTCCGCGTTTCGGATGGCGGGATGGCTCTATTCGTCATCCCATCCGATCAAAAAGCGCTGCGTTGCATGTTACGTCGCAGAAACAACTTGAGCGCCCTTGTTTCCACCATTTGTACCCGATATAGTCATGTTAGTATGTCGCTCATGTCTCTATGCTAGGGTTTCTAGTAGAACGAAGTCTTGACCACCCTGTATTACAGAAGTCTCACCATGGTACTCCCAATTGGCAGATGCCTAATCATTCTCATCCACAAGTATTGCCAATTAACAGCGTGTTAGCCATGTCGCAAAGTGCAAACATGAAAAAACACAGCTTCGGCGGACTTCTCTGCGCGAGTACCATTTCCATGTCTTTGCTTGTATTGCTGCTGCATTGGTATTCATCAGACCCAACCTAGGTACTTAGGTAAGGCACCTAGGCAGCAGCCACACGATCATGCCAATTTGGTAATCAGGTGCATTGTGGGGGTGCGTATTTCCCTGAAGGCAGCAGCACCTACGGATCAGTCGTTTCCTTGTCTCCTTGATACTTGCCTACCTTTCCTACCACCTTGGGTACCTACCTAAGGTAGGTACCTAGGTAAGGCAACTTAGTGCACGGGACCTTGGTGCATACCTACCTACCTTAAGGTAGGTATATACAACAACAATCACGAACCCTTATGTCAATCGGGAATCCTGTTGTACGACATCTCACAGCGCGTGTTAGCTTCGTATACGTCGAAGCTCAGATCTATCGATTTTCCCCAAACTGTAGCAACCTTACACAGTTGTGTCCTAGATGGTCTGACTGCCCTGCCTTCATATTTGCAACACCTACAGGACACACTAGATACCTCCGGAAAACTCCATCACGCCCTTGCTCTAGATGAAAATGCCTGCATCCGGCAGACGGTTCTCTCATCACCAGCGAGCCCGCGGCGGCTCGAGCCAATGCAGAAGCCAAGTCCACAGTCGCGGACGAGGTCGAGGCTCGGGGGTCATTGACTTCAAACGCAGAACTGACAAACGCTCGTCAAGTAACCTGTCTCACATGCCTATTCACTTTGAAGGATCTCGTTCTGAGCGTAGTTTCCGCGCGAGGCCTCATGCCCAACAAACAGTTCTTCCAAGCACGCCACCCGATGGCTCAGATGATGCCTTTAGCAGCCCTTCTCGGCTTTTCGAACAGGGACAGGCACATGCTCTTGGAACCACACCCGAGAATATCCAGAACAACGAGAGCGGCGATTTCTACGAGACAGTCAATGCAGAAGAAGTCGTTTTGGCCGTCAGCTTCGTGGAGAGGGGCAGTTTGGGATGCGCCTACTTTGCCACCAACACGCAAGAGCTACGGATCCTTCACGACATGCAATATGCCGATGTTGATGTTTTAGAGGCTCTTTTGGCACACGTCCAGCCTACAGTCGTTTTACTGCCCCTCAAGACGCCAGAGGTCGTCGTGAGTCTGTTTGAAAGGCATGCGAATATATGGGATGAAGGTACGTGGACATGGGACTGATTAGTTCTTGTAGTCGCTAAGTCTTGTTCGTGTAGGCTCCGGGCAGTGCTCATACGCGATACGAATGCTGACCTCTGCCAACTTCAGTCATAGCAATGCTGTGAAGCGACTTGCAAACCTAAAACTATCCTCCATGTCGGCTCTGCGAGCTGTCGTACGACCTGGTCTCGCTGGTGGCACGACGGAGAGCTTCGAATCCACCTCTGAGCTACGACTACATTCTGCAATCATCGGGGTTACACGACTGAGCTCGTTTATCGACCTCGATAGTCTGTCATCGGTACGCTGGATTGAAATTCTTATATAAACCGTGCGAATATTCTGCTCAACCATAGTAGGTCGCTTGTGCAGGAGCAATTCTCGGCGAACTCTCCCGATACGATGGCCACGCGGATGATCCAGGCCACATAAGATGCCGTGACTTGCAAATGTTTGCTCTGAAGGACTACTTGCTCGTCAGCAATGACACAATGTCATCCTTGCAAATACTACGGTCAGAATCTCACCCTAACAACCAGGCACGGGGTACAAGTAAGACCACTCAGGGGGGTAAAGAAAGCCTGTCGATATATGGCCTATTCAGCGCCTTGGCGGGAACTCCACAAGGAAAGACGAAATTCCGTCAGATGATTGTCAGGCCTACCGTCGACCTCAATTTGATCCATGAGAGACAGCGGACTATCTCGTTCCTGCTGCAGCCAGGAAATTCTGAGACCTTGGAAACCATATGTCGAATTCTCCGCAAAGTGCCAGATATACGACGAAGCATCATAAAGCTTCGTAAAGGTGTGGATTCTACGTCTGGTCGGGGATCCTTTAATAGGGGTGTTTGGTGGACATTGAGGCGGTTCGTTGTGGGCGCTTTGCAGCTGAGAGAAGCGATTAGAGGATTAAGCCCAGTGGGCGAGATCATCTTAGCTGAGACTGTAGAGAACACCCCACAAGACCAATATCAAGCAATATCATGCTGACCAGAAGCACAGATAGTCCGCATAATATCCCCGAACACCATGAAAGAATTGGGCGAGACTGTTGGTTCAACCATAGACTTCCGCGAATCTAGGCCAAATTCTCGAGTCACAGTCCGGTGGGGAGTCAACGACGAGCTTGACCGACTCAAGCGAGACTACAACGGCATGGAAGACTTATTGAGTCAGGTGGTATCTGATCTTTCTAATGAGCTTCCGGAATGGGCACGCAACATCGTCACAAGTTGCATATTCTGGCCACAACTTGGATTCTTGACCATGGTTCCGCTCTGCCCTGATAGCGAAGAGCCAATGTACGACGGTCAGGGCCTGGACTGTGACAACTGGCAGATAATGTTCTCCGCGGAACGAAAAGCGTACTACAAGAACCGTCGGATGCGAGAGCTGGATGCACATCTAGGCGACATGTACGGTGGTATTCTTGGTAGGCCAAGTGATCTCAAGCTGTGTTTCCACACTGACTATAGTAAAGATCTCGAGGTTGAAATCCTTCACAACCTCGCCGTCGATGTCATGGTTCATGAAGACGCTTTGCTGGCCGCAGCCGACATCTGCGGCGAGCTGGATGCTTTAGTGGCGATGGCGCTTGCGGCAGGGAAATATGGCTGGACAGCACCAAAGGTGACGATGTCGAATGTCCTGAGTATCCGCGCTGGCCGGCATCCACTGCAAGAACTGGTGTTGCCCCTTTATATCCCTAACGACTGCTATCTGTCCGGAGGTGAAGATCACGAGACCCCGGGCCTTGGATTTGAATCCCGTAGCTCGGGACATTTACCGATGAACACCTCAGAATGTGCCAGCATGACCGTACTTACAGGGCCGAATCATTCAGGGAAAAGCGTCTATCTCAAACACGTTGCTTTGATCACTTATTTGGCTCATATTGGCAGCTACGTTCCTGCAGAGGAGGCAATTGTTGGCCTGACAGACAAGATTTTAACGCGACTATCAACACGCGAAACTGTCTCAAGGAACGAGAGCTCGTTTGCCGTAGACCTCAAACAAGTAGCATTCTGCCTTAAGTCAGCTAGTCCCCGAAGTCTAGTTCTTGTTGACGAGTTTGGGAAGGGAACTGCAAGCGACGACGGAGCAGGATTGATGGCAGCCTTGGTCAACCATTTCGTCTCGCTGAGGACCAAGACACCTCGTGTGCTCGCAGCTACACATTTCCATGAGATTTTTGAAGGGCGACATGTCAGTGAATCTCCGTACCTGACGCTTGCGCACATGGATATTCGTCTCGACTCAAGGGTTAGCCGACCCGACAATCAGCTCGTATACCTATACAGATTGATACCTGGGGTCTCTACGGAAAGCTTTGGCGCTATTTGTGCAGCGCTGAGTGGGGTTGACAGCTCAGTCGTTGATCGCGCAAAGACTATCGCCCATATCCTTTCAAGTAACGAGGACTTGAACGCAGCATATACTACGCTTGATGCCGAAGACTACAACAGACTGAGGGATGCTGAGGATGTCGCTCGACGTTTCCTCAACGTTGCGCCGCGCAACCTGGCCATAGGTGCCGTCGGGGACGTTGGGAATATCCGGAACACTCTGAGGAGTGTTCTCTACGAAGACACGGGCTCGAACTGCCACCTGTGAGACACCGCTAATAAGGAGATTGTAGTCAGATGTCGCTTCAGCAGCATCCTACAGTGCCCTGTACAGATGGGGAACTGAGAAGTTTTGGTCCGCAGAACCTTTGGTGCCCGGAAAGGCGGTGCGAGCACGAAAAGTATCTCATGGCCTGAATTGTCCCACTCGCACCTCAAACACAAAAATGTACATTTTTCTATGCAAAAGGATGTTAGGACCACTGAGAGCACGTATACCCTACAGATTGTATCGCTACACCAGCCGTGTTTGAAGCTTGAGCCTCGTTCCTGACCGAGACAGGGTGAAGGATGAGGCGAAAGGGGTGGGGAGCCGCCCTGAAGGTGCTGGTGTTCCGTTAAATGCTAATCCACTCACGACGTACTATCACCCAAATACATACGTAAATAAACCTTGAGCCTAGATGTGTTTAGACCAAACAACAACATCATGAACGAGCGTGCCGCATAGCATCAGCACCTTTGGGCCTCTGTTCATGATTAACCGAGTGGGCCGTCGAGCCAGAAAGCCATTGACCTGATGCTTCGTTTCTCCCGCTTAGGCAAACATTAAAAGAAGAGGAGACAACGTCATGATAACAAACAAGGTTTAATCATGTACCGCAATCCCATTGAAAGACATAATTCGTGACGTTGATGGGTCCCTTGACTGACCGACAAAAATAGACGCGGGATACATCAGTTCAACCCCAAAGCCCAAGCATGGCAACCCCGAAGCCGGCTGCGACAGCGCCGCCAACGGGGTATGCCGTGGGCTTAGCCAGTGAACCTGACTCGATTACAACTCCATTTACTGAAGTGGGCTGGTCGCAGTGGGACGGTTCCAGGCCGAAGCAAGCCTGGGAACTGAGGCTGGAACAGACAGGCGTGGCCGATGTGCCGAGACTGGGATGACTGGCGGCGACAGTAGTGCCCCCTCCCCCGGGAACAACGATCGTGACAGCGAAATCATTGCTACCTCCTTCAAGTTCCGTGACGCATGTGTCGTAGTTCTCTGAACATTGGCTCAAGGCAGATGAGCATTCACCTTGGTCGAGAGACGTCGCCATGTAGGGGAAGGGAAAGAAGGTGTTTGCAACAAACGAAGCAGACGCAGTCGGTTGCCCGGCTGGAGAGTCTGGCGCTGTGCCTGTACATACAGCTCTGTACCATCAAGTGTATTAGCCCTGCCGTCGGGTGTAGACTTTGGGAGGCGATTCATCAGCTTACCCGGATGGACAACAAGCCGGTTGGTTGCTGTCGTCAAGTTCGCAAACCTGGTTGTTTTGACAGCAGATGCCGCTGAAGTCTGTACCTAAAGAGGTAGAGCACAGGTATGTGCCAGCGGGGCAGTCGGCACTCTGTCTTCGAAAAAGCTGGTGGGCTGCTGCGTAATTGTACGCTAATGGTATATCTAAAGCTGCTGTCGGGAGTGTTGTTGGAGCTGAAAGTGACCCCGCTGAAACAGACAGCCAAAGGGAAAGCCCTAAGTGAAACTGTAACAAGCGGCGTTTCGCTGTAGCCGTTGATAGTAAGTTGGCTTGTAGAAGCATCTTCAATATGGGGCTCTGGTACAGCTGGGAGCGGGGTAGAGATAAGCGGGCCGACCGACACCACGCCAGAAGAGCGCTGGTAGAGCTTTCAGAGCTTTTAGCAACTTTGGAAGGGCGTAGGTGACGAAGCTGGGGATCGCAATCGTTGCCTGGGACAAGAAAGGTGTGGCCGATATATCAGGACGGTTGCGGGTTCATGGCCTGGATGCTGGTAATACAAATGGCTGGGCGGGTGGTGGCTGGCGAGCACACAGAAGGCCCAGCTTGTGCAGGCATCATGGTAGGTAGGTGCATGGCAGCCGAATGCACTACTTGATTGGTTCAGTAGCCTAAGCGATGTTGGCTAGGCAACAAATGTGTCTCGCACCGTAAGGTAGGTAGTCGAGTACCCAGAAAGTGTAGTCCTCAATCAATGCGAGTCTCGAACATGTGCCAAAATCTGCCTCAATCGACCCAGAGCCCTCATATCTGTTGGTGGGCTGTCGCTTATCTGGTCCCCTGTGTCGTTGAGCTCATTGCGGGCAGCTTCTGCAAGAGGCCCCAAGTCTCCCCATACTTCATCAGTGTAGGAGCTAAGGACATGTCTCCAATCTGCGAGCCAAGTGCGAGTGGCCCGTTGAGGATCTCGAATACCAAGATGCTGATAGCTTGCATCCCTGTCGCCCGCGATCAGGAAGTCTGGCTGAAAATTTAAAAGTTCGTCCCAACCCTGGCCGGTTCGCTCCACGGTTTGAGACTGGTTCTCTCCAAAAAGAGCCAACCTCAGCGTTGCGATTTCATGTGGCGACAGCACAGGGGTTGACTCCAAGCTGTCACGTGTGATGATGTCTTGGGTTTCTGGATCCGACAAAAGCTGGACTGCTTCAATACCATCGCGACTTGCTTGCACCTCCCATTCTGACGGCCCCCCAGTGAAGCCAGAGAAAGCTGGGCGCACCTGGTTCACGAGCTGGTGGGTCGATGAAGATCCTGGACCGATCGACGATGAAGTCGCTGTTGTTGGTGAATTGATAAAGTTGTTGTACTGACTTTCTGAAACATGACTATGCCCAGGGCTGCTGGATTTGTTGCTGCTCGTGTTCCCTTGCCTCGAAAGGGGTAGGGATAGTGAGGTCGCTGTCGCTGCCGCAGAGGTGGAAGTCCCGCCAGATGACTGTTGCTGTTTATCGCTAGAAGTAGTTCCAAGCACTGCACTCTCGGGCTGTCCACTGATCACTGTGCGGGATAGGGCCGTGGCTGAAGCCTGGAGGCGAGAGACTAGCGAGGGAGATGGTGACGTTTTGACTTCTGAGTCCAGGGCGAGAAGAACGTCTTCTGTATCATGTTCCTTGCCTTTTCTCGAAGCCTTCCCATCAGGATCGTCTGAAATTGTCATAGTTGCGTATTGACCGGTGACAAACACTCAAAGGATGTCGAGGCAAGCGAGGAAGATGGAAGTTATGTGCTGATGGGGGTACTTTTACCGAGGCTGGCACATTAGCTTAAGGTGCCTAGGTAGGTCGGTAGGTACCTGGCATATGGGGTGCAGTCGGCACTACGGTTCGTTCAGCCGATCTATCGATACGAGCCCCGACGGATATGCGTCCACTTGGTTTGGATGAGCGAAATTCTGTTCTCGGGGCGATGTATTTATACCATAAGAGGCACCCGCCGTACGGTTATCGGTTGTCTTATCATCATGCTGTGCACCCAGGTGTACTGGGTGGGGCATTGCCGTCGAGGTAGTTAGGTCCGACCTAAGCAGACACTGGGACCACCGCCCATCCCGCACACCACACTGCTGCACCACGTCGAGCCCAACCCACGTACCTTACCTCAACCGCATTACTCGACGATTACCAACACCACACCCAGACGCCGCCCTGCTGGTACACACCTTTCCACCCGCTTCCACTGTTGTAACCCAAAGTGACTTAGGTAACTGGTCACCACCAATCTACCTTGATAGGAGGTAAGGCAAGCTATGACTGCATGCCCGTCGTCTCGGGGCTGTCCTTTGGCTTCAACTCCCCTCTAGCCTTCCAGTTCCAGGTCCCTGCCCCTCCACCCGACCAACACGCACTTGCCCTTCCCTGAGCTGCATCATCACCGCACGCGCGACCAAGCCATACCTACCTACCTACCTACTGAGGCCAGTGTCTACAGACAAGGTAGCTAGTTGCCTATTATTCTTGCCCGTCACCTTGTCACGCTACTCGCGCATTTCGTCGCTGTTTGGTCGTTGCGCGCAGCCTTCCACCGCTTCTTGCTGTCGTCCTCGTCCCCCATCCATTCCGTCGATCACTACTCGAACGCAACTGACAATCGACGCAGAGGCCGACCTCACGAATTTTCATCTTTTATCACTCGCCGACCATCGCTTGTGACAATCGCACGTCACCCCTTTTCTCCTCTAGGCGCTTGAACCACACAAGCACCTACCTCAGCATTCTTCGCTCACTCCGAGGTGCTCAGCTCCGAAAGACAACTTGTTCCCAAGAACGATCGCCGCATAACCACCTTTGGACTTGGAAAGTCCACGCCTCTAGGCCGACCATTTGCCAAACTGTATCCTTGAGGCAAGCGTGTCTGTCTGTCGATTCCCAGTCGTACTCAACTCTACCCCTCCATCGGCACTCGCGGGAAAAATGGTAGACAGCGACACGAACTCTCCGACATGGAAGTTCACGCAGTATGCCGCCCTCTTCTTTCCTTTCCCATCCGCCTGCCGTGTGCGGGATTCGTCTTGGGATTGAGCTGACCAGCACTGGATAGGTGCTTCGGCGACAAGGGCGATGTGGAAGATATCACTGAAGGTGAGTCGATCCCAACATGATACAGCGAGATGGAGCACAAACCTTTCCAATGTCGTGGAAGTCTGACGACTGACTCCTCGCAGCCGATATCATCTCCACCGTCGAATTCGATCACACCGGCAACTACCTAGCAACGGGAGACAAGGGTGGACGTGTTGTACTTTTCGAACGGAATGAGACAGTAAGTGGCCAACGTAGGCAAATAAGGTGATCGCGTTTTTATTGACACCCCTTTCTAGAAGAAGACATGCGAATACAAGTTCCACACAGAGTTCCAGTCCCACGAACCCGAGTTTGACTATCTCAAGTCCCTGGAGATCGAAGAGAAGATCAACAAGATCAAATGGTGTCGTCGACAAAATGCATCCCATTATCTTCTGTCGACCAATGATAAGACCATCAAGCTATGGAAGGTCTTCGAAAAGTCACTCAAGGTTGTCGCGGAGAACAACCTGTCGCACGACCTCACCCCAAGCAATGTCGCCGGCGGCGGCGGCGCAACCAGAGCGCCGCCTCCGTCTCAGTTCAGAAACGCAACCGACCTCAAACTGCCCCGCCTCACCCACCATGATACCGTCGTCGCAGCCGTGCCGCGACGGACATATGCCAACGCTCACGCGTATCACATCAACAGCATATCAGTGAATAGCGACGGCGAAACCTTCATCAGCAGCGATGATCTTCGTATCAACCTTTGGAATCTCAACATCCAGGACCAAAGTTTTAACATTGTCGACATCAAGCCCGCAAACATGGAAGAGCTTACGGAGGTCATCACTGCTGCCGAGTTCCACCCCCAGAGCTGCAACTGGTTCATGTATGCGAGCTCGAAAGGCACCATCAAGCTGGCTGACATGCGCGAAAGTGCCTTGTGCGACCAGCATGCAAAGTGTATGTTCCACGCTTACTCCTGCATTCTAGTATCACTGCGGTAGCTAACCTGAGTCCTGCTTCGTAGTGTTTGAGCAAGAAGAAGATCCTTCATCTAGGTCGTTCTTCTCCGAAATTATCTCGTCCATCTCGGATGTGCGCTTCTCCTTCGATGGACGGTACATCCTTTCACGCGACTATCTGACAGTCAAGATCTGGGACATAAACATGGAACGACAACCTGTGAAGACAATCCCGATCCACGAACACCTGCGACCTCGCCTTTGCGACACATATGAAAATGACAGCATTTTCGACAAGTTCGAGGTCGTCTTTTCTGGCGATGCCAAGAATGTAATGACAGGCAGTTACAACAACAACTTCATGATCTACCCGACGGATCCCGAGAAGGAGGTTGAAGTCGTGTTGCAGGCCGACAAGTCAGCCTTCAAAGCGAAGAAGGTTGGCGTGCCAACACCGATCAACGCAGCAACCAGCCCTACGTCGACAAATGGGAAAAAGAGCGGATCGCGTGCTGGTAGCCCAGCTGCTGGGGCCCAGGGTCAGAGAATGCGTAAGGAGACGGATGCTGACCAAATCGACTTCAACAAGAAGATTCTGCATATGAGCTGGCATCCTTTCGAGGATAGTATTGCCATCGCAGCAACGAACAATGTAAGTTGACCCACCTTACTTGAGTTTTGCTTTCGGGGGTCCCAGCTTCTTTCGATGACATACTGACTCGTGACCCGAAGCTCTTCGTCTTTTCGGCCCTGTAAGCTATACGAATCGCATCGTCGAAAGGCAATCCGTGCTGGGCCGCATCATGTGGCGCATGCTGCCCGTGTCTGTGGTCCAGATGCCGTCGAACTCCCGGCAGCTAATAGATCATGCTGCATGGGACTTGGCATTGTGAGCACAGCCTAAGCTGAAACAATGTGTGCACCGTCAGCGGATGAACATGGTTCTTCCGTTTCGGCTGTCTTCATATGACAAAAAGCTATGTTGGCAGACACAGGGTCAAGTAGTTGAAGAGAGGGGGGGGCAGGCTGTGAAGACACATCTGCCAGATACAGCCGCACACCTAGTGAGCATGCTTACCATGGTGCTCTCTCTTCCGCCCCTCAGTAGCGACTTGATAGCGAATAGGCCTAAAGCGAAGTTCATGACAAGAAAAATTGTCCAATCATTGTGCACTGTCTGTGGTTTCTGTGTAATTACCTAGATGTGAGTCGTCGTATGGGCATGTCGGGAGCATTGTGTCTTGACCCCTGTTCCAGGCTCCTTACAAGTCCCCTATAAATACTCGGCTTGGCTAGAATGGGGTGTTATGGTGGGGCGACACGTTACCACTTGCCGACCAGTACTCACTAAGGCGTTGTGCGGATCAACGGGACACCTCTGTCTCTAGAACCTGAGCCCCCAGCGCTGTTTCATCGCCCCTCATTGGCCATCCAAGCATCCTCTCTACGTCGCTCGCTCCCACGGTCAACTTTCCTTCCATGCCCCCGTTTGCGTTGTAGGGTGAGACCATCTCGATGACTGCAAGCTCGACAAGCAGAAGACGTGGTCCGCCGCGGGGCACCCACGAAACAACTGTCACGGAGAAGGCCCAATCGACTACTCGACAAACAGGCGCTATGCAACCCCTGAATACAGCCAACGAAACGGCCGACACTGACCACATCGATTACGAGAAACAACACGGCGAGCGTGAGAGGCAGGCCTTGTCGCAGGGGCCCGCAACGCTTGCAAGACGCTTGGTTGTCGATACGCTCCCTCAATGGCTTGCAATTGGGGTTATGCTTGGATTGATCTTTGGTGGCTGCTGTTCTAATGTGCGTAGCTTGTTCCGTTGCACCATCATGCTCGGTTGGCCGAGCGCATCAGGCTGATCTTAACGCTGTGTAGGTTTACGCTCTTGAAGCCATTATCAAGTCAGTTTGCAGCTTCCCACTTCCCATTTGCAAACACTAACCTTTGATACCATTAGAGTTGAGCCTTCAAGCGGTATGCTTCTCCACGAAACCACCTCATCACGAACACGATCCATATCTGACATCAATCTTTTATTACCAACCAGGCACGCTCTTGACATTCGTGCAGTTCTTGTTCGTAGCTGTTACTGGGTACATCTCACAACTTGATCGCTCGCGACCACCATTGTTCATTCGGCCAAACAAAGTTCCTCTCCGACGTTGGATGGTGAATATTTTCCTCTTCTTCAGCATCAATGTCTTGAACAACCATGCGTTCAGCTACGACATATCAGTCCCTGTTCACATTATCCTCCGATCTGGCGGGAGTATCACTACTATGGCGGCAGGATCCTTGTACGGCAAGCGATATTCGCGCATACAAATTATTGCCGTGCTCCTGTTGACCGTAGGGGTTATTACCGCGGCCTGGTCAGATTCGCAAACGAAGGTAACAATCAATCCACGGCCAACGAGTGACGTGGCCTGTATTGCAGTTGTTAATCATTTTCTGCCTCCGATAGAACACCACAGAATCGACTAAGGCTAGTGCTGAGGCACGAGAAGCGAAGCCAACATTCGGGACTGGCCTTATCATTCTTTTCGTGGCTCAAATACTGTCTGCAATTATGGGTCTTTACACAGAAGAGACGTATAAGAAGTATGGCCCCCACTGGAAGGAGAACCTCTTCTACTCTCATCTATTATCCCTGCCACTCTTCTTGCCCTTCCTGCCTTCTCTTGTGAGACAGTACGGAAGGCTGGCCAACAGCACTCCCCTCTCACTCACACCGTGGGCGGCTGGCAAGTCCGAACCATCTGTCGACGGAACATCTGTGTATTTGAGCGGAATCCAAGTTCCCAGCCAGCTGGCCTACCTTGCTATCAATGTTCTGACGCAGTACGCATGCATTCGAGGCGTCAACCTTCTGGCGGCAGCCTCGTCCGCCTTGACTGTTACAATTGTCCTCAACATACGGAAGCTGGTTAGTTTGTTGTTGAGCATCTGGTTTTTTGGAAACACCCTTGCCACTGGAACGTTGTTAGGAGCTGTAGTGGTGTTTGGGGCTGGAGGCTTATACTCGCTTGATTCCAAAAAGAAGCCAACGCGAACACAGCCGAAGCAAGACCCGAATTTGAAATAGACAAGCTCAACCAGCTTCAGGTCACATCATGAGCCCCAAGGTCAAACGAATGACATATTATACATGTTGTGGTCGTTCCAAACGTGGCCTGAAATGGTGATGTACTGAGGTGAGTCAGGCTCAAGGGCCAAGCAATCAGTTTTGAGTAGGTACCTAAGGTACCTAGGCTTGGTTCTCTGGAGGCTGGTCCAGTCAAGCCACACACCCGTAAAAGAGTCTATGCTTGCTCTCGCCATTGTTAATGGTTCATCATTCACATCTTCATAACTTCGGCAAAGAATGCAGCTACCGAAAGAGTGACATGGTACTATGCGTTTATGCGAAATCATATATGTATGTAGGATGTATCGGCGGACGCCGCCGCTGGTCAAAGCTCAGATACTACCAGATCGATTTTAGCAATGCCTCAGAGTGGGACGCTCATAGTTAGGCTGCCTGACTCAATCACAGGCTTCTTCAGGTCCACCAGCTTGCCGGCTTTATATCAGGGCTATATACTCCGCGCGCCCATGCAACGGCGTACCTGCTTCTGACTCCAGCTCATACATTTCTCGTAATAAAGTTATTAAACGCTCAAATAGGTCGCTCCTACCAAAAAGTATTTGACGGCGCGAGCTGCGCGCCCTAGCAGGCTTATCAACATGGCTGGTAAGAACTTCTCCTTCCCTGTTCGATCCTCCACGCATCAACGCAATACGAACCCGGTTCCATCACAACTAGTAAGTCCCCTCATCCGTCTCGCTGCCTACGGAGTTCCTCAGCGCAAATTTGACTGACACCTCTTTCAGACGTAATCGTCTCCCTCAAAGACCCCATCGTTGGCCTATCGTCGCCTAAGCGGGGCTCATCTTTCCCCATCCCCGATGTAGAATCTGACGAAGAGGGCCAGGCGGTAGCGCAGGGTGTCGATGGCGATTCAGACACAGAGGAACCTGATGGGGCGGTGAGAGGTGGCGATTCCTCCCACGCGCATTTCGAGGAGAGTTCGGCGAATGGAGATCTGCAGGAAGGCATGCTTCCGCGTGACCTGCCAACGCGCACTACTTACTATGACCCTGTCGCTGAGCGTCAATTGAGTCAAACGGATGCCAAATTGTTCTACCAGAGAAGTCAGATCGGTCAAAAGAGCATTAGCGGCAGCCCCATGGTTACCGGTCATGAGGCTTACGACCACACCAGCCAACCTCCACACATTGATCATAGACTCGGGGAGCCAGCCCTAGGCTCTGTCATGCATTCTGTCGCCAAATTAGAGTACGAAGGTCAGAGCCCTTCTCGAGGCGATGTGTTTTCTGTCCATTCGGGCAAAGCACCGCTACACGATCAGGCACAGATCCTGGATGAGACGCCCCGTCCCACGGCCGGCATTGAAGCCAATGCGGCCCTGGGCGCCTTTTCTGATACTGAACCCCACATCACGTCTGAGCTCAGCTCCATATCGAAGGACATACAAGACATATTGGACATGAGACGGAAATATATCGAACTCTCTCTCCAAGGTCCTGACGATAATCCTAAGGATCAAGATGACTGGGAGATCTACCCTCCACCCCCTGAGCCAGCCTGGGCTCATCAACACGGGACCAGCGCAGGGCTTGCCACGTCCGGCAACAGTGCAGTGAACAGCCTGCACAGCAGTATGGTGCTACCAGCAGCCGCCACGGGTAGTCAAGCGCCTGTATCAGCTGACCCCGAAATCGACCACACCCTCAAACGATCAAGCAGGAAGAGAAAGCCTGGACAGAATGTTGGCGAGGACTTCGTACCAGAAGAGCTGCAGCCAGTTCCTGGCGTCACGGAGATGACCTTCAAACTTGATGACAGCGGTGTCTATCAAGTTTTCGACAACAAGGATGAGGAAGCCAATGGTCGACCTCTGGTACAAGTTCCTACCATCCGTGAGTTCTACATGAATCTCGATCAAATTCTCAGCCTTTCGTCAGACGGCCCAAGCAAAAGCTTTGCATTTCGGCGTCTTCAATACCTAGAAGCCAAGTTCAACCTGTACGCTTTGTTGAACGAGTACCAGGAGACAGCAGACAGCAAGAAGGTGCCGCATCGAGACTTCTACAACGTCCGCAAGGTTGATACTCACGTTCATCACTCTGCCTGTATGAACCAGAAACATCTCTTGCGCTTTATCAAGAGCAAAATGAAGAAGTGTCCGGACGAAGTTGTACTTTATCGCGATGACCGCCATCTCACCTTGGCTGAGGTTTTCGAAAGCATCAACCTCACCGCCTACGATCTCAGCATTGACACCCTCGATATGCATGTAAGTCCTCATGACAGAAGTGGCTGTCTAAAGGATTCCTGCCTGTCCCTTACTAATTGATGCCAGGCACACACCGATTCTTTCCACCGATTTGACAAGTTCAATCTGAAATACAATCCCGTTGGAGAATCGCGGCTTAGAACAATCTTTCTCAAGACTGATAATTTTATCGACGGCCGCTATCTGGCCGAAATCACGAAGGAGGTCATTGCCGATCTTGAGTCAAGCAAGTACCAGATGGTCGAGTGGCGAATCTCCATCTATGGCAGGTCGCTCGATGAATGGGACAAGCTTGCCGCTTGGGTCATCGACAACAAGCTATTCTCGCACAACGTGCGGTGGTTGATTCAGATCCCTCGTCTGTATGACGTGTATAAAGCAACCGGACTCATGGACACCTTTGAACAGGTGGTCAAAAACGTGTTTCAACCTCTGTTTGAAGTTTCCCAGGATCCGTCGAGCCACCCTAAACTCCACATATTTTTGCAGAGGGTGATCGGCTTCGACAGCGTTGACGACGAAAGCAAAGTCGAGCGCCGTTTGTTCAAGAAGTTCCCCGTCCCGAAGGTCTGGGACTCCAAGCAGAACCCGCCTTATAGCTACTGGGTGTATTACATGTGGTCAAACATGGCCTCACTGAACGCACTACGCAAGCGCAGAGGGTTCAATACCTTTGTCCTGCGTCCTCACTGTGGTGAGGCGGGTGACAGTGAGCATCTCGCCGTCGCAGCACTTTGCTGCCACAGCATTAGTCACGGTCTTTTGCTGCGCAAAGTTCCATTGTTGCAGTACATCTATTACCTGGAGCAAATCGGAATCGCCATGTCGCCGCTCAGCAACAACGCTCTCTTCCTGGCATACGAGAGAAACCCTTTCTACCAGTACTTCCGTCGCGGCCTCAACGTCTCCTTATCCACGGATGACCCGCTCCAGTTTGCCTTCACTAAGGAGCCTCTTATGGAGGAGTATGCGGTGGCTGCGCAGATTTACAAGCTCAGCTCCGTAGACATGTGCGAATTGGCCAAGAATTCGGTTAAGCAAAGTGGCTATGAGAAGTCTGTTAAAGAACAGTGGCTCGGTCCAAACTTCCATCTTCCTGGCAAGGCCGGTAATTCGATGGAGAAGACCAATGTTCCCGACCGCCGTGAAGATTTCCGTCACCAAACTCTGCAGCAGGAGCGAGACGTGTAAGTTGCAAGGCCCAAAGGTACGCAAGGGCACGTACTAATCTTGCTTATAGGTTACAGCAATATATCGCCTTCAATACTCGGCATGGCACGGACGCGAGCGGCAAGTCACAAGGGCAGAACACGGCAAAGCCTGCGTCAGTAACGCCACAGTACGTCAACCAGAATGAGCCTGCTGCGCACGAAGGCGCCGTTGTCGCAACTCCGATACGCATGTCGTCGATGACGGAGTCGCCAGGTCTCACAGAGAGCTTCAGTGACGTTCATATTTCGGGTCGAGAACCAATCATTCTGCCTGGTGTGGTAAGCAGAGGAACAAGAAGCGACAGCCTTCGACCAGCAGAAGGATCTTGATTGGGACAGGAGGCGTTGCTGTTTAATGTGTCGTGTTACTGCAGGTCCCGCCAAATTGTACTCGTCTAAGGGAACCTATGGAGGAGCAAGGAAAATTTGTCTTGGTGTGTGTGTGGCTATCGTGTCAGACCGCCATAATTGCCAATCAAAGAAAAAGATACATTTGTTTAGTGCTTTCCCCACTTCATGATGGTAGCAGGTAAATGAACCTGTTCATGTCAAATTGCACTAAGATATACCTACCTATACAAATGGAGCGTTGGAGACGTCATCTGCAAAGTGCTCGCCTATGCGTTCCAGAGAGGGCGGGAAGCACTCGGATTGAATTTAATGCTGTCTAGATGGGTATCCATGTGGCGAAGAAATGGATATTGTCCTGCATAAATACGTGCAAGTGGGTAGGCCCCGCTCGCCGTTCCTACTGAGGTAACTGAATCACATTGTCGGCTTTGGGTACCCTCTTCTCGGCCCCTTTATTACATGTTCATCTTCAGGCCCCAAGTCTAGAACCAATTGGGTGATTCCCGCCAAGCCCGCCTGTCCCGCCTCGTCGGGCGTGTCAACAGCTTGCCAACCACCAGCTCCAGCCTGCCTGCTATACCTGGCTACTGCTTGCCAGACTACACAGGACAGGCTCAAGGTTGGTCGGTGATTCTGTTCTGACAGTAAGTCGTACCTGAACTTCGGTAATCCTATTTCCCCCCCGCTGATGGCCCTTTCGCGTGACGAACAGATTGACGCCATCAACCGAACACAGCCGCGCGGTCTGTGCCTCTTCCAGACACCTTCCTCACCAACCAGAAGACATCCGGCATCAGCGAGCGATTGTCTCTGCGACACTTTCTCCCCCGCACTAAGCAATCGATCGTAATATTATACACACTCTGTGACCGTTTATTCGATGCACGCGTGCTGCTGAGCCAGAGGACATCAAGAGCCATTCGTCGTTGACGCATACTCAATGTAGGACCCCCTTCGGCCTAGTCACTACAGTCTCTCGCATGGCAAGCACGTTCAAGTCATGCGCTGATCAAACAACCACTCTTGTAGGCTGTGTGGACCTGTGGACTGCTTCCTGCTTGAGGCAATGTATACCTACGGCTGTGCTGAGATCGTGCTTCCAGGTTTTGTTGACCGAGTTGTTTCCCAGATCGACCGCCTTAGACTCGAGTCTACTACCTGCGACCACCACGAGCACGCTGCACGAGACCAAAAGTCGCCTATCCGCGAACAGCCGATATCTACCGTGCTTCGTCGCCCGCAGCAAGCACGTCCGCTACCTTCTGCCTCCAAGCCGAGGCCGCGAAGCCCGAGGAGTTGAGGTCATCCCTGTTCGAAGTCTCGAACCGACGCCATGGGTTTCCAAGCAGTCTGCAGGGCTCTATATGACTATGTGCCACAGGCTGATGCCGAGCTAGCCATAACCGAGGGTGATTTGCTATACATCCTGGACAAAAGTTCGGATGACGGATGGTGGAAGGCCAAGAAGAAAGCCAGCACTGACGATGGCGATGAACCGATTGGTTTGGTACCGAACAATTATGTGGAAGAGGCAAGATGGAGATGAGTACGAACCAACCAACTTTGACACGGGCTAACAGTCTGTACAGGCCCAGCCGCAGGCAAAAGCTCGCGCAGTATACGAGTATACTCGTCAAACTGACGAAGAATTATCTTTCCCAGAAGACGCTGCGCTTTCAGTCTACGATGCATCAGATGAGGATTGGATACTTGTAGGCCTCGGCGACGAATATGGCTTCGCGCCCGCCAACTATCTCGAAATGCAGGATGGCGCCACCGAAGCAGCCGCTGTTCCACCTCCGGGACCTCCGTCCTTGCCAGTACGCCCGACGCCGTCCGCAGTGGACGAAGACCATGATTCTGCCGACCGAGCTGCCCCATTTTCTTCTTCCCCCTCGTCTTCTCATGGCAACCCAGCTGCTGCCTTGGCAGGGGTCATGCAAGGACGCTCGGCACCTTCGGCAGCGTCGCCGCTGACAAGGTCGCCTACATCGCCGTCATACCACGCTGCAGACGAAGACGACGGAGATAGGATTCAGTCCCCCGAACTACCTACCAGGCCACGTTCTCAGATCAGTTCTCCTCCGCCGCACGAGTCTGCACGCAGGCAGACCCGCATGTCCGACACAAATACCGCCGAGCCACCGGCGCAATATCTCGCGTCGGGAGGGTTCCATATGTATAACATCAATGAGATGGTATCGGTCATGGGAAAACGCAAGAAGATGCCAACTGTTCTGGGCATTAATCTGGCAACTGGAACCATCCTCATCGCGCCAGAGAGGACGCAAGACGGCCCCACCCAGGAATGGACAGCAGAAAAGATGGTTCACTATTCGCGTGAAACAAAACACGTCTTCTTGGAACTCGTCAAGCCGAGCAAAAGTGTTGATTTCCATGCCGGCGCCAAGGACACGGCTGAAGAGATCGTAAGCGCTCTCGGTGAGCTGGCTGGAGCTGTTCGAGCTCAAGGATTGCGCGAGGAAATATTTGCCGATGCTGCCAAAACTCAGAAGAAGGGGCAGGTTCTATATGACTTTGTTGCACAGGGGGATGACGAGGTTTCGGTATCAGTTGGCGATGAGGTCATCATCCTCGACGATGCTAAAAGCGATGAATGGTGGCAGGTCCGGCGACTCAAGAACGGCAGGGAAGGTGTCGTGCCGAGTAGTTACATCGAGGCGACTGGTATAATCTCGCCAGCAACCAGGGCATCAAACCCGAACGCCGGTCTGTCCACAGTCGAACAGAATCGACTGGAGGAGATTCGATTGACCAAGGAAGCCATGAAAGCTGCCCAACTCGATACACAATCACAGGTAGGGCCTGGTATGCCACTGCCTGAACGCGGCAGTAGTCTTACGGCAAGAGAAAGTGTTAGTAACTCTGGGCAGCGGAGCAAGCGCGAAACAGGACGAGGTGAAGGGAATACACAAAGGAAACCCAGTAAGTCGAACGGGCCACGGCAAGTTATACACGTGTTTGCTGATCAATCGGTAGAACCCGACGCAGCCAAGGTTCGAACTTGGACTGATCGGTCAAAGTCCTTCAGCGTCGACGCGCAATTTCTCGGCCTGAAGGATGGCAAAATCAATCTGCACAAGATGAACGGCGTCAAGATTGCAGTTCCCGTCGCCAAAATGTCACTGGAAGACCTCGAATACGTCGAGGCTGTCACTGGCATCTCATTGGACGAAGATAAGCCACTCTCCAGTGTTAAGAGAAACAGCAAGACTCCCGATTCTCGTAGCACATCCGGCGCAGCCTCAACTGCCAGGTTGGGAGCGGGCGCATCTGTTGAACAGCCACCGCAGAAGCCAGAGTACGACTGGTTTCAATTTTTCCTGTCGTGTGACGTTGCTGTGGGTGTATGCGAACGTTATGCGCAGGCATTTGCCAAAGAATCCATGGATGAGAGTATACTTCCTGACGTTGACGCCTCGGTGCTGCGCAATCTCGGCCTTCGCGAGGGCGACATCCTCAAAGTCATGCGTCATCTGGATACAAGATTTGGCCGGACAGGTTCACGCGGGAAACGCAATAAAGACGGCGCTGGCTCTGATGACGATGGTGGTGAAGGTGGTTTATTCTCGGGTCCTGGCGGGGCTTTGCGCAATAATACCAGGAAGGGCAGGCCTGCACCTGCTGTCCAGACGAGCGACGTGGTAGACGCACAAGCATTCGGTGCCCGAACAGAGAACAAAGCACCGGAGTCTCAAGTTGTGCAGACTCGGGATGGGAACGGCGACCAGTCCAAGGGGGGGTTCGATGATGATGCTTGGGATGTCAGGCCTGGCAAAGCGGCCGAGGAGCCCAAGAAGGTGCAAGCTGAGCCGACGAAGCCAACGCCAGTGCTGACAGGGTCCATGCAAGAGCTCTCTCTCCTTACGGCACCTCTAGAACCAACAAAGCCACTGTCGAGCCAAACATCAGGGACCAGTCCTGCGACACAACCGCCAGCGGTAAGCCCGCAGCCGACTGGGGCCACGCCTGCTTTCTTTGCGCCTGCCAACTTGCCAAACACTCAGCAAGCTCAACAACAGGCTGCGCAGCGTCTGCGTCCTGCTCCTCCTCAGGCCTCGCCGACCCAAGGCTCTCTTGTGCCTCCACCACCAGCCCGCCCATTGTCAGCTCCTCAGTCGGCACAGAACAGCGGATTCGCGCCTCCTGCACTGGCCCCCCAAATGACGGGTCTGAACTATCAGACACGGGTCGCTCCTCCTGGTCAGAGTTTGGATGAGGTAACTCAGGCACGACTTCAACAACAATTTCTTCAACAGCAGCAGATCCAGCAACAGCAGCAGATCCAACAGATGCAGCAGTTTCCAATGCCTACTTACAGCGGTCAGCACCAGCTCGCGTTCCCGAATGCTGGAGTCCAACCGGCGCCTCAGTTCGTGTCGGCTGGAATGACGGGCACGATCCCGCCACAGGCTACCGGCCCCTTTGGCGGCATCAACCGCCAACCCCAATTCTCTCCTATGCAGCCTCAGGCGACAGGCTATGTTGGACCATATCCGCAGGCGCAGCCCTTCAACCCGCAGCCTACGGGTACTATCAACAGTTTCTTGCCACCAGCCTTGGAACCACAACGTACTGGCCTGCCTCCTTTCCAGCCCCAACCAACCGGCTTCACTGGCAATGGTAGTGCGGCACAGATACAGCCTCTTCAGCCTCAACAGACAGGACCTGCCCCTCCTGTGCGATTTGGAGTCACGGGGGAGGCGAAGAGGCTCGCGCTCCAGCCCACAGGTCGACGAGCAAACCTGTCTCAAGCCAGTATGTTAGCCCCCGCTCCCGTCCTCTTCAAAGCAGAAACTGACTGTTCACAGCGCCTAACAACCCATTCGGCTTCTAAAGCAGGTTTTGGTCTAGTCGCCGTTTGTACTCTTTTGGTTTATGTCCCAGCTGGAACGTGTGTCTGACCAACGCACGAACATGAAGACGTCAATCGGTCGTTATGATTGGTACTGATCACAGCCTTAATGTAGATATTCTCTGGTCGCCGAGATGGTCTGAGATATCGCAAATGAGGCCTCGCGTGTCCAATGTGTTTGCTTCGCTCTATTCAATAAAATACGACTGCTAAAAAAAACCATCCACCCAATGTATCCCACCTCTCATGTGACAAGGTCTCCGCGCCAGTCTTGAGAGCAATGTGAATGTTGGGACGCTCTCAACTCAAAAAACATCTAATCATGCCTGAACATGCTTGTTCAGATAGTGACTGCCCCGCTCATACAGCGACTTCACTAGATCGTCCAACCTAGCAACACGTCGTCTACCTGACGTTGGAAACACGCATTCTCTGCTGGAATCATGCTTTCCTCCTCCGTGGTCGCACTGATGCAGGACCTGGTGCGCTGTCCGCGGCGTGCAGTACAGCTTGAGCTTGCTTCTCCTGACCACCCACTGGCCTACTTGGCTGGAACCGCTTGCGTACCGCGCGGATCATCATGACAAACCAGTAAAAGTTGAGTCCGTTCAACGTTAGGTTACTGATAAGATACGCTGCTGCCAGCCACGTCGGAACTGTTGATGAGGTCGTCAAAAATCTCATGGTATCGGACAACGGGATATTGCTGCCCGGCGAGTTACTCGCCCCCTTCAGCAGCTCAAGTCCGGGAAATGTGTTCATTGCTGCCCAAATATCTTGGAAGACCATGACAGACTGATAAGTTCCGTAGACGAGACGGCAGCTGAAGAAGGTGAACAAAAGCACAAGGCCGTTGTAGAGTTGAGGCTTTGTGCCCGTCATGCCAAGTTTGTCGAAGAACCAGTGTATATTGAGGAAGGGCGTCGACAACTCCCACAAGATGAAGACCGGGGCGTAGTAGTTGACGAAGGGACGCTATAGACAGTACTTGGTCAGCTTGCCGCTCGAGAGCAAGGTATCCTGAAGAGAAAGTGGTGGGTGGCGCGACTCACGAAGCCAAAAGAGTAGACGAGTAGGGCACTGACGGCATGGGCAAGAGTGCCAGGACCGAAAACATCCATGTTCAAACTGGTGACAACCAGATCCCATAGAAAGTAGCCGGCAGCCAAAGCCTGGATCATGCCAACGGCGCCAGTGTATCCCCAAATACGAGCCTGCCAGTCCATTTCACGACGTTCGTCGTCGACGAACATGATCCAGAGCGCAAGCCCGTTGATCAACGTACTCTGGAAGAAGGACACGACGTGTGCATCCCAATTCACGCGGCGCTTCCTAGGCAAGCTTCTGTAGCGCTCCCCAACCAGTAAATTGGAGAGCAAAGGCGAAACCGGCCAATAGATGACAGAGTATAGAAGGCCTGCAATAAGGACTTCGTGGATATGGAGAGGCAGTGAGGGCAGCGACAAGTAATCAGCCCAGGGCTGTGCTGCTTTCGAAAGCCATGGCAACGGTTCCAGAGGGAAGGGATCCTTCATCTTGGCAAATCGCGGTGTTGTCGAGCCGTTATGCTTCCTTGCGAGTTGTGGTGGGCGTTGCCTGTAAATGCTGTGCAAGTGACATGCAAGAAAGACTGGGAGATGGCCAGTGAGCGGTGGATATTTCTGGTTTCGCGATCAAGAGCCCATGATCGTAGGTGGCTATCGGTTTATGAATGGATGCTGCGACTTGAGGATTTTGCAGCATTGGCGATGTGAAGTCAGCTGAGGTCCCACGCCTCCTGGCAGGTTTGTCGCCAAACACAGCGTGATCAAGAAGCACCTTGCCTAGGTACCTTGCCTACCCCCTCACAATCAAGTATTGTTGAGCTTCCTGGTGCCTGGACCCTCGTCGCCCCACCTCGGGCGACAGCGCCTCACACCGCATCGCATCATGCTTGTCCAGATGATCCACCCTTGTGGGGTCTGCGGCGTGTCCAGAAACACGAGGCTGCTCCGCCTGATTGGTTGATCAGAGGGGTCTATCAAGCGACCCTCGCTCGACCTGGCCTCTGCTGATCCTCGTGCAACTCCCTCAACAACCCGTCTGAACAAGTTGGTCGAGTTCGGGTTTGGTGATCGCGTTCACTTGGCATGGCTGATCTTCTTCTGGACCTCTTGGACGCTGAGCGTACCGATCCTGAAGCTCACTCCAGTCACGCCAACAACCCTGCAGTCCTCACAACCAAACTCCAATATCTTGATCACTTGGCTGAACAATCCCAAGCATCACTGTTATCTGCAGAGCCACAAAGTTTAGCCCACTCATCACATTCGCTGCTCCTCTCACTTCAAGACATATCGAAAAGATCCCACAAGACAGTGGTTGACTCGGCGAGCCGTCATGCCACTTTGGGAAGAGCGCTCCCAAGGCTTATGAAGGGCACCACACAGCTGCAAAACGCCATCCCGAAGGTCGACTCCGAAGCCCTTCATTTCTCTTCAACGTATAGCAAAGCCAGCGATAACAACAACCTGCTTCGAAGACGCCGCGCCCTTTTACTGCTCGATAATGTTGAACGTCTTGTTGACGTTCTAGAGCTCCCCGCATTGCTTTCCTCGGCCATCACAGCGGTACCGCCGAACTATGCCACAGCTCTTGACTTAAACGGCCATATCAGACGACTGAATCTGCTGCATCCTGATTCTCCTTTGATTGCATCCGTCTACCGCCAGGCGAGCGAAGCGATAGACCGCCTCACAGCGGATCTTGTTGCTACGCTAAAGGCCCCCGGCCTTAAACTAGCCACGGCTTTGCGGACTGTGAGCTGGCTTAGGAGAGTCCTTCCTGATTTTGATGGCGATTCCAGCACCGGACGCGACATCCAGGAGCGAACCTTGTCACTCCTGTTTCTTCGTTGCCGCCTCGCAACCCTAGCAACCACGCTCGACGCGCTGCTTCCACTCCAGGAGTTGGCTAACGAGGAAAAAGCTAGGCAGTCTAGCTCGCGTAACGCTCAGAGTTGGTCTGGCGGCCAGCAAACAGAACGATTCCTCAAACGCTATGTCGAGATATTTCGCGAGCAAAGCTTCAGCATTGTATCGATGTTCAAAAGTATATTCGGTTCACCAGCAGCAACCTTACCGGGCCAGCCTGCGAGTGATCCTCTGCAACCCCTGCCTTCGGTCCTCTCTGCTTTCCCCCTTCAGTTAATCGAAAAGCTGCTTGAGACGCTGCACGAATATCTTCCCGCTGTCAAAGACCAAGCTGCCAGAGACAGCATCCTTACACAAGTACTATACTGTTCTGGTAGCATGGGTCGACTCGGGGGTGATTTCGGCATGCTTCTGCCCGGAATAAGGACCGCAGAATACCGGGTTGCATCAGAAGATGCCGGAAATACCGAGTGGGTTGATGTGGTAAAGAGACATCGATTGCTGGCGGGACGGCTGGACTCAATCATCGGGGACTATAAGGGTACTGCCATGAGAGGCACATGAAGGTCGACAGATACGAAATCCACAATTAGGTCCTGTGGCTCCCATGCTGTTCACATAGCGCGCGTGCGTCTCGGCCGCGCCCTACCGATATTGCAGTGCTCAACTTGTCTCCTTTCCGACATGCATCCCAATGAGAGTATCACACTGCTCGAGCGGAATTCCACTCACGCTTCAGGATGAGCAAGGTTCAGATACCTACGGTGCCTACCTAAGGTACGGTAGGTATGCTAAGGTACCTACCTAGGTACCTGAATGCCTGGTATGGTACAGTCAGTATCTCCTGGGGAAGGATATTCGCTTACCTAATACTGACAGTAGATGAAAGGGAAAGATAGGGAGCGTGGTACCTGGCCCACACGGTACGTACCTACATCTAGCTAACCCGGCCCCGTGGTCCGGAACAACTCCCAAACCATCGGGATTGTGTAATCTCTGCCGTCATGGATCACCTCGCCTACCGTGCGTTCCAACTCACCTTTCCAACAACAATACTATCTCCCACGCTCAACCGTTATTGTGTCAACCATACCGCATGATGGCCCAACATCTCGTCTACGCTCCGACCCCTCTTGCTTAGCCCACGACCATTGTTGTCAGATCAAGCGGGACCGCCCGGCGTCTTGGTTCCCAACAGTGGCCCCAGTCTTCAAGCAACCCTTTCTTCACACGCCCGTATTTCACCGTGGAGTTCCAATGGCCCACAATGGGAGCACCAGATCAAAATCCTGTGAGCTACAGTTCCCGATGGTCCTCGCGCCCGGCTGATGCAGATTCATCAGCCTTTCACTTTGCAGCCGGCCTGGGGTCCGGCGTTTGCTCGGCGGTGCTCCTCCAACCCTTGGACCTGCTGAAGACCCGAGTTCAACAGTCGGGTCATCGGTCACTGTCTTCCTCTTTGAGTGAGGTAGCAGCATCTCCAGACAAGTTACGGACGCTCTGGCGAGGCACAGTCCCTTCAGCTTTGCGGACAGGCTTCGGCTCAGCTCTCTACTTCACCTCTCTCAATGCTATCCGCGAACATGTTTCCAAGTCAAATCTTTTAGGACATGCTGCCCCACGCACGTCGCATTCATCATCCCTCCCTCGACTTTCAAATTCCGCCAACCTTGTTGCCGGGGCCGTCGCTAGGACCTTTGCCGGCTTCGTACTCATGCCATTGACTGTCATTAAGGTCCGATACGAGTCGAGCATGTATTCTTACCAATCCATCTTAGGCGCCTCCAAAGACATATACATCGCGAACGGCCTTCGTGGCTTCTTCTCGGGCTTCGGCGCCACGGCTGTCCGCGATGCGCCCTACGCGGGCATGTATGTTCTCTTTTACGAACTGCTTAAAAAGCGTATGAGCAGTCTAGTCGTCCCACAGCAAGCGGCTGTCGGCCACGATGGAAATGCATCGCTTAAGATGTCGCAAGCAGGCACCATTAACTTTACTTCTGCCATTCTCGCCGGAGCGGCGTGCTCGGCCGTCTCAAATCCATTCGACGCAATCAAAACGCGAATCCAGTTGCAGCCACAGGCGTATCCTAACATGTACCGAGCGTGCCGCAAGATGCTCGCGGAGGAAGGCGTAAGATCCCTATTCGATGGCCTCGCTCTACGAATGAGCAGGAAGGCGCTGAGCTCTGCTCTAGCGTGGACAGTGTATGAAGAACTGATGCGGAGGGCAGAGCGCATGTGGAACCCAAATATGGAGCGGGTCGAGGTATAGATTGTACTTGTATCGTTGCTCTCCTCTCTGGTCTTCTCCTAGGTTTGTTCTTCAGTATGGGAGGCAGTATGGTCTTGAAATAACACAAGTTTGTCTGGTTGCACTCTTCCACTGACGTACAGCGCAAGCAGCATCATCTTGACTGCTTCATTTTAGGCCGGCCGAGCACCAGCCAGGTACATCAGGAGCGCAGGCGACTTGCTACGCTTACGGTCTCCCCCCTTCTTCCTCACCCACTCAAACTTCGGGTCATCGCGATCTCGCCTCTTGTCCCCATCTCCGACATCCAACAAGAGCCGGCCTGACCTCTTCTCGCGGACATCTCTGGTATGCTTCCAAAGGGTGTCCTGTTCCCATTCTGGTACCCAACGTCTGATGAGGACGTAATCGGGATCCTAGAATACATGATCAGCATGAGTACCATTGCTAGAAACCGTTGATTCCGTAGGTCAGGCACATACCTGATCCACTTCGTACTCAATACGGTAGGTCCGTAATGTTTCGATGGACAGGTGCCTACGGGCCATGCGTGTATAGGTTGGGCGCGCTACCGCATTGCCGACCGGCACAAAGGGTACCTGAGGGAGTGATGCTGGCGCCTTGACCTTGTCTGGAACCTTCTCCTTCTTTAGGATGGCAGCGATATGCTTCTCGTCGACGCCCGAGTTGATGAGGTCCTCTTGGAGACGTCGCTTGTATTCCTTTTCGCGCGCATCCTTCTCCTTCTGCTCTTGCGCGATTCGTTCCAGCTCCTTCTGCTTGTACTTTGCAACAGCCTCCTTGGCCTGCTTTTCGAGCTTCTCCTTTTCCTCGGCCTCCCGCTCTTCCTCACGTAAACGTTGCAGCTCCAATTCTTTTTTGATGCGTGCTTCTTCCTTGACCTGCTGCTCCCGAGCACGAATGGCGTCAAGTTCGCGCTTGGCACGCTGCAGCTCAGCCTCCTCGCGAAATTCTTTATGAGCTCGTCGCTCCTCCTTATCGCGAGCTTGGTGAAGCCGCATCTCTTCCAGCTCTCGCCGTGTCTGCTCCATTTCAAACTCCTCTCGGGTCATGTAACCGGACCCGGATCGCGAACGGGAGCGGGAGTGGTCTCGGTGGCGGGCTGGCATGACTTGGAGTCCGCGCCGATCATCATCGGAATCCGAGTGCTCATTGTAAATGCGGTTGTTAATAATGACGGGAGCTGGCGCGGGGGCTGGCGCAGGCGGGGAGTTCGGCGGGCTGGGACGTCGAAAGCGCTCGCGCGAGCGAGAGCGGGTCCTGATGACAGTGCGCTCCGGTACAAGATAGGATTGGGGCCGCTGCTCTGTGGGAAAGTAGCTCACTGGGCGATGCCGAGGTGGTTCGACATAATTGTAAGGCGGGGAGGCGCGCCTCCTTGATACATGTATGTTCAGATCCTCGTCGTCAGAGTAGTAGCTACTCATTTTGGTAACAAACAGTCGCTGTTCTTGGGAAAAGAGTCGTGTTTCGGAGCGTCAAGAATACCAACTTCAGGCTGGGCGCTGATGGGTCAGACGAGGTTTCTCTTAGTGCTGACACAGAAGGGAGGGGAAGCGGCCGACGATGTCGAAGCGCCTGCAACGCCTACTTGGGTAATGTGGTGCAGAGGGGGTTCAAGGAACAGGCTGGAGAGGATAACATGTGTGTCCAGAGTAGCCGCGAGTATTCGGACTATCCCCGTGTAGAGGACGGCGATAAGTTGGGCGTTGGTAGGCAGGGAAATAGTGCGCGGGAGGGGGAGGGGGGGAATAAGGGTCGGCAGGGCAGTAGGGTGGGTGTCGCCGTTTTATCTTCGAGCGCCCGTCTCGCTCTTCGCCAGTTCTCCGCCACTCATTCTGCTGGTCGCATGCATAACCCCCTCATCCTTCGCGCAAGACAGGCTGACAATCGGCATCGGCGCCCATGTCGGGCTTTGGCGCCCTTGTAGGGCTGCACCGTGGCCATGTTGTGGCTCGGAAGGATTTGGGGGCCAGAAGGCATCCATGGATGTTGGTGAGAGGAGCTGATCGTCTTTTATTGGACTGGCGCGACCACCGACAGGACGGCTGACCCCAAGACCCCGTTCGCCGTCCAATAGGATGAGCATTTGGTATGAGGAGCGGGGTGGCCTACTGACGAAGGGGAAATGGTGGGAATGATAGCAGGCTGCTGGGATCAGCGATGTTGGCGAGGACCAGCACAGGTCACCCCGACTTCACAACGCGGGAGCCCTCTGAGGTGACTGCCTGCCTCAGCTTCCGTTTCACAATGTGGTCTGCGCTGCTGAGCAAGCCAGAACTACAATAGTACATTGCCTGGGCCGGACTGGCATTCTGTTTAACGCACGATACTGGAGAGCAAAAGCTGTGTATCAGAGCCGGAGCGATGGCTACATCTACCCATCTAGGTGAGCTCTGGCAAACATATAGGATCGCAACAGAGACGTCATGGACGCAGAATATTGACAATACCCGGTACCAGAATCCTCTCTGAGCGAAGAACATGGGCAAGACGCCGATCACAGGAATGGCTGGCGAGGCGTCTCACGCCGGTGCACTTGTGTCCTCGTCCGGGCTGTCTTTTGAAATGGGTTGGGTTGTGGGTGGATAAGGTAAGCTGTGCAACCATGTTGATCCAGTGCCCAAAAACCCATCCGTCTCCCCCTTCAGGCACCCTGGGACTTGAGCATCTGATCAATCGCTTGTCGGCTGTTCTTGAAAGTCGTCTCAAGATAATGCAGTTTCTGTCCAAGCTTTTCCACCTCGTTTTCCTTATCTTTGATCTGAGTGTCCAGTTTCTCTGTGAGCTTTGGCGTAGGTAGCGCAACGAACCTAGCGGTTGGTGAGTGCTGAAACGCGAGAGCTGACCCGAGTGGACTCACATTTTGCCAACTCCCTCGAACACCTTGGACCCTCTCGGGAGCCCGGATACCTCGTCCAAGGTCAAACGCAGCATGCGCATTTCACGCTGCTTGGAGGCCGTCTGCGACCGCGCCTGTCCAATCTGTTGTTGAGCTGCAATCGCCTGGCCCTCGATCTCCCTCATCAACTGTTCAGCCACGCAATTCGCGTTAGCCTAATGCACCGCTGCTGCTATTCCGAGACTATGCCGTGAGTCAAAAGGGGCCCTTACAGACCTTCTCCAGAGCCTGGTTAGGAATCGACATGATGAGAAGCCCTGTAAGCAGGTTGCGCAGCTCAAATCGGTTGCTAGGCGAGTCAGTTGACTGTGCAGTCAAGTTCGCTCAGTCGTAGGTTCAAAGTAGACGGTACGAGCCGTGCTCTCTGTAGCGTGCGCTGTCCAGTGGTTGTCGAAGTGTTGGTGCGAGTTCGTTGTTACAGGCGATGTAGGCAACATGGGTACTGTGAGAGGAGAGCGGCAGAGTCAAGCTGTTCAGGCGGATCCCCACCTCTTTCGAACACTATCGATATGCATATCGGTTGGCGCTAAGACCACGGCATCATGCCTCTTGCATATATTGTGTATATGGGGCAAACCCTGCTGCCAAACTGACTTGACGTTGATGTACAGTACACTTGGGGATTTTTCTTGAGGCACCTTCTTCTAGTAACATGCTCTTCTTCCCACGGCGTCGGGGTACCTCGCGCCTCATTTTCATTCGTTACGCGCGCCACCGATCACGCTCGTTACACCTTTTCCTTGACCCTCACTACCTGTGGGACAGACAACAGGTGGCCCTGCCACAGCAGCTTGTACTCATTTTCGCGGCCTCCAAGACACCGCCGAAGCCAGATGCCCCATACAATGTAGTAGTATCCTGCTCAGTCGCATTAGCTTCTCCATTTAGGGGCAACTGAGGTGACCGAGCATAAGCCGGGACCAGCAGGTTGTGGGCATGTCAAACTGTACCTCCAAGACCCGTCATCAAATGCCACCAACCATGTCCCTCCAGCAAAATCCCCCATGGAAGACCTACATGCCTCCTCCAACGGGTAATTGTATTGCAGTAGTGATTATCCAGATTCCAGATGAAGAATCCGCCAAGAAACACCGTGAGCCCTGTACCTACCATCAACCACATGGTTGCCAGGATACGCTTGGCTTTGGCAGGATCTTGGGCATGGAGTTTCGGTCGGAGCTCTGTCTCCATGACATAGACACTGCGGAGTAGAACAATTGCTGTCAAGATACCATAGGAGTTTTGATGGAACAGGGGATCTTTTGAGATGTGATAGTACGCCTACATGGCGAATTTGAAAGTGAGCTGCATGATCAGGGGGTCGGATACCAGACTCTGACTGTACCGTTATGAATGCTGCCAAGGCAATGAGCGCAAGGCCCAGGAACGCCGAAAACAGGTTTGACCTGCGATATGTAAAGGTTGCAAAGCACATAACGCATGTTGTATAAATCATGGACAGTTCGTCAACGAGCTGCATAGGATCTGCACGAGGTCAGAACGAATCGCCGCAGGTCAGGAGATCTGCGGCTTCCAGCCGCGCTCAAGCTTACACTTCAGGGTGGAATGAAAAGCTGTTGAGCCCGCGCCGACAATGATATATCCCAGAAAAGATATCACAAAGACGCGGTCGTGGTGGTGCTTTAGACAATTCTGAATGCCTCGGGCCCCTAGCCACAGGAAGAGCAAATTGGTCAATGTCTGTTTGTCGCCAAGAAGGCGGCATTAGACATGGCACGACAAGGGGTTCAGTGAAACCAACATTGCAAATTTCTGCGCAGTAGTACGAGACAACGTAATCCTTCGAGTCCTTATCAGCACGGCGGTCTTCTGTCGCTGCCTGTTTGAACTCGAACTCAGGGAGACACTACCTCTTCACAAAAATTCAAGGTTACAGTTTTCGGACCCCAGAAACCTTCGTGGCCGTTGCTGTCATCGTAAGGAAAACCAAATGATGGGCCCCTGGACGGTGTCGTTGAGCTCATCTTGTCGAGCGTGTCCCGTAGCAAGCAATCGCAGGTTGAACTTGACGTAAGTAATGCGGCGTGCTCAGTGGTTGAACCGACGACACCTCACTGTAGGCACAGAGTACAGACTGGTGATTACGTTGGGCAGCAGCGGTATCAGACAAGTGACGGAGAAAATCGGGGTGGTTGTGATAAAACGTTTTGAGCTTGTCGCTGTGGTGGGGGGGAACAATGGTTCAGTGCTCGGAATGGCCACCAGAGAATCCAATGTAGCAGGCCGAGGCTGCCGAAGCGCGTGGAGTACGCGTCCTCTTCATGACTGGTATGCTCTGGGAAGGCCATGTGTCCATTCCCCCCTCATTTCGAATCGAATCAACTCATACCAAGAGAAGAGCTACAGTACATACGTGCACCGAACATTTACACAAGCTTATCCTGCTAGCGGCAGCATGACTGGCAAGCTGTAGGGGGAAATGGCCTGAAGTGTCAACCGCGAAAACTCGACACTGCTCGTCTGTCCCCTCCGAGGTTGGTCTGATAAGGTGAGAGGCTTGTGGGTCGGAAACCAAGATGAGCCGATAGCAGGACAAGTATACATGGTAGACATTGGGGGGATGCCAGAGAGCTGGCCGTGGTTCCAGTCGAGAATGACGTATACACGTCTCAAACACCACGGTCTACCTATCTAGGTACCTACCTAGGCCTGCTAGGTACCTCACCTAGGTAGGTAGGTGCCTGAGGTACCTAGGTAGTCTAATAACCTTTGGAAGGAGGACCAAAGCATGTACGAACGCTTAGTCATCGCCAACACTCCACCTGTCGACTGGACCCAAGCCGTAAGGTGATCTATTTTTACCACTCCGTCTTCTACCACGTACTCCTTGAGCTTCGTGTAATTACCTACCTACCTTACTTTAGTAAGGCAGTCACGGCAGAATAGCGAAAGCTACCCATGACCTTGTGGCATTTCTTATGAAGGTCGGTACATAGACAAGTTCATTCATTTTGTCAGCAACGTTTCTTGGGCCGCCAGAATTGCTCGAATTTACCCATCAGCGAAACGACTGCGACCCGTCAAGCCTCGAAGCCCGAGCTGTCCGTCTGCGTGTTCACGCCTATTCATTCAATGCTCTAGGTTCGATCACCGACACCGCTTCCAGCCTGGCCACGACCATCCGGGCACGAGATGACCGCATTGCACAGATTCCTACGTTCATCGCTATCCTCACAGGAGCTCTGAGATATGGCGAATCAGGGGAAAGGCTCGAGATGGGGCTCGTTGTTGTCACAAGCCGTGGCTGGCATGGAGGCGCATCTTGACAATATGCTCGCCGAAGGTGAAGGTGGACCGAATGCCACGAAACAAGCACAGGGCACGAGCGGGAACCCTCATCGTCAATCTGCAACTGTCCAGGCCAAAAATGTGCCGGGTAAGTCAAATTGCTGTCACGATGGGCTGTATTAGGCCATAGCTTACTGATCAACAGCATCGCCCCGGACGTCCTCCAGCAGTAACCGAGTGAACGATCGCTTGCAAGAGCGCTTGGCTAAAGCCATCGCAACCAAAGGCGGCAGCAACGCAACCGAGGTTTCTAGTACCATAACCAATCCCATTGATTTTCCGAACAACAAAGCTTCCACCACATCGGAGAATAGCGCTGAGAATCAGGCCCAACAACTACGTGGTTCAGAAAGCCCGCAAACGGCTACGGTCGAGGCAGCCGTCATTGAACCTCTGTCCACGAACGAAACACACAGCACTGGGGTAGATGATGTGCGAGACGAGGCGAAGCACCATGGTGCTGATTCTATCGAGCTCGAGGAGGAACATCTCGCAATCAATTTGCCTCCATCTTCTGAAGTGACGACAACACCTCTCGATTCACTCTGTAGTCGCTGTCGTTCCTTGGACGTCAAGATTTCGACCTTGGAGGCTGAGCATCGTGGTGAGGTCCATCGCTATATTGAGCAGGTTGACGCTTTGCAGGCCAAATTGCAATATTTGTCCCGTGAAGCGAGTCAAGTTGCGAGGAATGCTATCAAAGATACTCAGTCGGGCACCCTGGAGCGAAAATTGGCTGAAAAAGATGAGAGGATCGCGGTGCTAATGGAGGAAGGGAGAGGCATGGCTGCTACTGAACAGAAGCATCGAAACGTGATAAAGAAGCTCAGGATTCAGGTGGCCGATAACGAAAAGGCCAACGTCGAGCTGAAAGCCGCGCTTCAGCAGGCGCGGGCGGGTTTAGCTGATTTTCGTGCAAGCGAAGCAAAGCTCGAACAGCTTGAGAAAGCTCGATTCGAGTGGCAAGTTGGGTCGGCAAAGATGCGTGAGGAGCTGAGCTTGCTGCGATCAGACCTTAGCGCAAAGCAGATCACTATTGACTCTCTTCGACAAGATCTACAAAAAGCAATGGATGAAGCGGATACATCCGCATCGCGGGCTCTCGCTGACGCTTTGGAAGCGGAAAAACGACGAGCCAGGGAGTTCGAGGACAACATTGCGTCACTGCAGGTCGAAAAGAATCTGGTCGCCGAACGAGCCAAGAAGAGGGAGGCAGAGCTCAGAGAAAAGGCCGATGAGGCTGCGGAACGCTCACGTATTGCTCAATTGGAGCTGCAAGGTGAAATGCAGGCAATCGAGGGCAGACTCGAGGCCATGCGGGCTCTAGCAGAAGAGGCTTCATCAGGGGCTGTCGGCGACTCTCAGGCCAAACTTTTGCGACAAATGGAAACACTCCAGACTCAGCACGCTATTGCTAGCGAAAATTGGCAGGGAATAGAAGCTAGTCTCGCCACACGCCTAAGCAATTTGGAGAAGGAGAGAAACGATGCATTGCGGAGAGAGTCAGATATGAGAAAGAAGGCTAGGGAAACGGTCAGTCAAAGCCTGTGTCAACAGCCCCTCCCAAGCATGTTTGATTCGGGCTGACAAGAGGTCAGGCACTTCGCTGCAAACGACAAGAAGAAGAAATCCACGATCTGAGTAGCAGGATTTCGAATAGTCAGCCTGAGTCTGACCAATTCAAGGACCAGCTCGTGACACTCCAGAAGCGTGCAGAGGCTGCGGAAGCTGCGCTTGCACAAGCCAAGGCAGATTTCGAAAAACAACAAGCCAGTTGGAAAGCGGAGCGCTGGGATCATCCTGATCGACGCCTTTGGCTGGAGGACGTCCCAGTCGCATCGCCGAGGATACAGAGTCGGCCAGATTCACCGTTACTGTCTGTGCCCGTAAGGACTTTCAGCTCGGATCTCCTCGTTTCACAGGGGCCATCCGGCAAGGGTCGGAAAATTTCAACACCTGGCAGCGTTGCTGACGGCTTTCACGACTCATTTTCGCCGGGCAGGCGATTGTCAAGCCAGCCCCCTTTAAGGCCTTTTGTGCTTCCGAACAGCGCTGGCCTTTCGTCTTCAGTGTCCATGGCCTCGTTTGATCCACCTCGGGAAGGCGTGCAAACGGCAACGTCACATCTGGGTGAACGAGATGATATATCAGACGTGTTAGATGCGTCTTCTTCTCCACGCCAAATGATGCAAGACATGGTATCAGTATCAACTGTTGGAGCGGGACCATCAGTCCAGCTTGTTGAGCGCATGAGTGCGGCGATTCGGCGACTTGAGGGAGAGAAGATGGCATCAAGAGAGGAGCTGTCTAGAATATCGGGTCAGAGAGACGAGGCCCGGGCGGAGTTGGTTGCTCTCATGAAGGAAACACAATCTGCAGAAGCGACATCCAGGAAGGTGTCGGACTTGGAGGACGAGGTGGCGAATATCAACGAGAGATACCAGACCACGCTTGAGCTGCTTGGCGAGAAGAGCGAACTTGTGGAAGAGCTGCGAGCTGATGTGGAGGATGTCAAGGCCATGTATCGAGACCTTGTAGAAAGAACAGTAAAAGGGTGATTGTTCTTCGGAAAATCATCGTAGGCCTATTCATTGCTGTGGAATTTTACTACGCAGTTGATCACGGCAGTCACTTCCGTCTTCCTTCTCTGCACTCATGGCATGTTTACTTTAGAAGCTCGATCCCTTCAGCTTCAGCAAAACGCTCAATGTAGTAACGAACCTATGAGCAGGTTAGATGGAAGAGGCAGCATATGATGGGTCATGTTATGAGGGTGCAGACCTCGTTGTCCGGCGCTAGATCGAGTGCGAGGTTCCCTTCCATGTCGCGTTTGCTGACGTCTGCCCCAGCTTTCAACAGGGCGACAGCTGTATCGCCTGCACCATCTCGAGTTAACAAGGGAGAGTGGGTTTCAGGCATAACACCGGAGCACATACCATGCCCCTCGGCTATAGCATGGTGAAGGGCAGTGTAGCCAAAGTTATCTGTGGCATCCAATGGACTTTTATGCTTAAGCAACAGGTTAACCATCGGCACCGAACCGATAGCCGACGCTCTGTGAATCGCATATTGGCCTCTCTTGTCGCGCACTCGTGCAGAAAGCGGAGTTTTCAAGGCTAGCAGACGCTTGGCTAAGTCGAGGTTGTTTTTTGAGGCGATGAAATGAAGGACATTCTATCGTGGTTGAGTTTAGACTCTTATCAGCCTCAAATGAATGGGCTCACCTGTCCGTTGAGATCTGTCATCCCCAGGTCAGTGCCTGCAGATAATGTATAGGACCGATCACTGACTCTTAAGGTTGATATCGGCACCCCGAGAGAGCAAAACATCCATGACTGCGTCGCCGTCCAGTAGACTGCCTGCGATCATCACAGGTGACCAGCCGCTACCATCCTTCATATAAGAGGAGCTGTCAGCGTCGAACAGGCACCAGGCTGGCCTCTGGAGGCCTGGGACCCGCAAAGCCTCTTACCTGCACATCAGGGTCAAACCCACGGAGTTGAGTAAGCAGCACAACAATGTCAATCTTGTTCGCAGATACCGCCCAATGGATAGGCATTCGGCCATCGTCGTCTACACATGCTGCAAGCTTCGGGTCCGTCTGGTGCACAAAGGCGTCAATCTGTACCCAAAGTCCCGCCCAGAAGGGGTTATATTCGCACCTTTAAAATAGCCTCCACCAGAGACACTATGGCAAACGTCAGTACGGCAGATCACACAAACATTTCGCCAAAGCCAAAGTGCCCATTTATTACTGGAAGGCAGTTGCGTTACCTTTCCCCTCCCTTGCAGCAGCATGAAGTGCAAATTTGGCTTGCGGCTCGTCCATCGTGCACGCGCTCACTGCTGATTGATCTCACAAGAAAGAGATACACCCTTCAGGTCACTATCTCGATAGACGTTGTAGACTTGCGTCGAGCTTGAGGGACGGGAATCCTTGCAGCTGTGATGAAGGGGAGGTACAAGACTCTCAAAACGGCAGCTGGTTGCAAGAAACCTGAGTAGAAGCTGCTACTTGTCAAACTGAAGTTGCTGGTATTCCCCTACAGCACTGACGTGAGGAGGATTACAGCATTGGTGTGGGCATATCTGGCTGTGTAGGTAGGTAGATAGTGAAGTGGCTACTAATAGTAGTTACAGTCATGCGATAAAAGTAACGAACACCCCCAATTTTACACCAAAATTCGCCAAAACATACCAACTTTAGAACTTAGTTATAAGTCGTATAATAGTATATAGACTCTAGAATTTATTATATAGATTAAGAATAACTAGAAAGAATATATATTTAGACTTTTAACTTCTATAGCTCGAAGGTTATATAATAATTAGTACTAAAAATTAATAGATATTTTTTTTAAAAAATAATCTTCTTATATAATATATCTTAACTTAAATTAAGTAGCTATAAGTATAGAGGATAGCTTACTTAGTAGTATATATATACTATATAGATATATTAATAAGCTTTAGTACTTTGAGTTGATTTATTAAGAGTAAAATAATATAGTTTATCTTTATCTATCTCTATCTCATAAAGGTCTTAGTATATTTAAAGATATTAATATATATTATAGTTTTAGCTCGAAATATACTATAGTACTGTCTATATATTTACTCCAGTTAACAGGATAGTGATATTAAGGCTTAAAGTTAATATGCTTTAGTGTAAAATAGGTTCTGTTCGTTTCTTTTGTCGCCCCATTGTACCTACCTTAGGTACCTTGCCTACCTGGGTATCGGCGGCTGGCTGCAGAGAAGGTGCCTCAAGCAATGCATGAACCCATACATGCCGACCCCACTTGGCCAAAGGCGTGTGGTACCTGGGTACATGGTAGGTACCTTAACAACCAGAGCTCTAGTGCCTGAATTGGCAGCTTTCTCGCCTAGGTACCTCAAGAGGTACAGTCGTTCCTCAATACTTTTTGCGACGTGCCTCACGAACGGCCGACAGCCTTACTGACTGTCAATGATAGCCACCAGGATATACCTACCTGTTTAACCTCCTTCCTCTTCGGAACTCGAGTAGCCATGAGCGACATGTCATCGCCAATTGTTCCGGACCGACTTGCGACGCTTGGCCGACTGGTGGATGGGAATGCAAGAACGACGCGATCCATCTTCACCACTTCGACAACTTTACCCTCCAGCAAGCGACAGAGGACGGTCGAAGCGGATACGAAAACAGAAGGCACCGCCAGCACAAACAGGCGCTTCGAGCTCGAGTATGCTAGCGTTCAGGATCTACCCGACGCAATTGCTGCAAAACTGCCTCCGTCAGGCAAGTCTAGGAAACATGTTGTGCGCCAGGTTGCAAAAGTTACCCCAGGCACGTCGACAAGCCCGAAGTTGCTGGAAGGACCACAATCCACATCGGCAGAGCACGAGATCAACGTGTCTACAGGGACGAGCATCAACACTGTTGGTTCGGGCTCGCAGCCACCGACTGGACACAATGAGACGAGCCTCTCGCGGATCACATCTACACAACCTCTCAAACCACAATGGCACCCTCCTTGGAAACTGATGCGAGTTATATCGGGACATCTCGGCTGGGTCAGGAGTCTCACAGTAGAGCCAGGCAACAAGTGGTTCGCCAGTGGCGCAGGCGACCGTACCATCAAAATCTGGGACCTCGCGACAGGCTCTCTGCGCCTTACATTGACTGGTCACATTTCGACCGTTCGAGGTCTTGCTGTTAGTCCCAGACACCCCTATCTCTTCTCCTGCGGCGAAGATAAGATGGTCAAATGTTGGGATCTGGAGACGAACAAGGTCATCAGGCACTACCATGGACATCTTAGCGGCGTCTACACCCTAGCATTGCACCCAACCTTGGACGTGCTCGTAACGGGAGGGCGGGATGGTGTAGCCAGAGTCTGGGATATGCGCACCAGGAGTAACATTCACGTCCTTTCGGGACACACAGCAACCGTTTCCGACGTCAAGTGTCAGGAAGCAGACCCTCAGGTCATTAGTTCGTCTCTCGATTCCACAGTCAGGCTTTGGGACCTGGCAGCGGGCAAAACTATGGGTGTCTTAACGCATCACAAAAAAGGTGTTCGGGCCCTGGCCACACACCCAAGCGAGTTCACCTTCGCAACAGGAAGCACGGGCAGCATCAAGCAGTGGAAATGTCCGGAGGGGGCTTTCATGCAAAATTTTGATGGGCACAACGCTATCATCAACACCTTGAGCGTGAATCAAGAAAACGTTTTATTTTCTGGAGGTACGTAACTTTTGTCAGTCGGGGTTACCCAACTGTCAGCTAACCCTGAATTCAGGTGACAATGGCTCTATGAGTTTTTGGGATTGGAAGAGCGGACACCGCTTTCAGTCTTTGGACACAACGGCACAGCCCGGTTCACTCGATGCCGAAGCTGGGATTATGAGCTCGACGTTTGATAGATCAGGCTTGCGCCTTATCTGCGGCGAGGCAGATAAAACCAGTGAGTCCTCGCCAACACACGTCTGACTTTTTGCCTGGAAATGTTCCTTATACTAATACGCCGTGTGCAGTCAAAATTTGGAAACAAGATGAAAATGCCACGCCGGAAACGCACCCCCTTGTCTGGCAACCTTCACTGGCTCACCGGAAGTTTTGATTTTTCGGCATCAGCCTTCGGTCATATCGCCAAGAATTCATCTTGCGTTCAATAACATAATGTCTTGAGTTCGACTCATAAACCAACGCCCATGGCCCTTAGTTCTGCATCGTCTCTGAAAGCCATCTTGATCTCCTCGTCTCCCACTGCAAGTCGCAACTTGCACGGACGTTCTGCCCTTTGCGATTCTAGTATAATAATTCCAGCCCCTGCGAGGTCCGTCGCGCCAGTCTGCAAGCACATTTGTTCAGTCACTACCGTGTAGCGGTTGGGACGGACGCCGCCAGATCCCATTTGCATCGACGCTTGCAATGCGTCGAGCGTCGCTGGCAGTAAGCTTCCAGACGCCATATTCAATACACGTTGTACCTCGTCCATAATATCGCCAAATATGGCATCGCTTGTTCCGCTTTTCTGCGTTCGTGCCACCAAAGCAAAGAGCAACAGTCGTGGTCCGAGAGCGAGAGAACGGAGATACTGCTGAATGGGGTTAGTCGTGGCTTCATTGATGGCTCTCCTGATAGTGGCAATGGTAACTCTGCCCCCACGCTGTGTCGTCTTGATATCTTCGTTTCCTTGTTGATATGATCCGTGGCTTGGAGTTGTGGGCACAGGTTGGGCCTCGGCTTCGGCAAGTTCTACTGCACGTCGGCATATATCGAGAGCTCTCCGAGCGTCGCCGCTGACGGCGGCGACTTTGCGGCTCGCGAATTGGACTGCATCCGGCTCTACGAGGTCGCCTGGGATACCTTCGAGTCTTGACTGAATGATCTTCATCAATTGTTCGTGATTATACCCCGGAAATGTGATCCTTGTAAGGCCTGTAGGGAGTCAGATGCAAATCTTGAGTGGGTTAAAATCCTGTTGCACAAACCCAACCGACTACTTATTTTATTGCTCAACGTTCGCTCTGGAAGATCCATGGTGTTGGCGACTGCAAGGACAATGAGTCTGCTATGTCGTAGTGCCGGCCAGTTGAAAAAATTATACATGACGCTTTGGTTTTTCGTGACGAGCTGATCCAGTTCGTCCATCAACACGACACATGGTATCCGTCGGGGACTTGGGTTATTGAACTCACGTTCAAGCAAATCTAGTGCTTGAACTGGACTGACACGTTCGCTTTTGAGAGCTTCCCACAGTAGACTATAAGACTGGTGGGGGTCGGTAATCTTCATGCCGTTGATCTCGACAAAGATGAAGTCATCGAGCTCATCGGACCTGACACAGCTCTCCAACCGTCCTATAACCTCACGGACAGTAGCAGTTTTCCCAGTGCCCGGGGTACCTGCTATATAGATACAACTGCCAGAGCCATCAATAATCGCAGCCTCGAGATGGGAGTAAACGGATGAGAACTCATTCTCCCGGCATGGTAAGCTGGTTGGTACTGATGCGACATGCAGTCGAGATCGGGCTAGTTGGAATGGCGATGACTGTAGTTGGGTAGGAGACAGCCTGCGTGTTGCCAGAGGGGTGAACTGCAATGTCCTCTTCACCTTGAACCTGTATGGTAGGGCTAGTCAGTAGAGGGTCCGCTTTTGTCAGAGGATACGCGAGAATACCTTCTGCTCGAAGTTGGCGTTGTTGCTGCAGTCTTTTTGGAGTGAGGCGTTGGCGGGTCTTTCCTGCGCTTCTTCTGCGCTCGTTCTTGTTCTGAACCGGAGGAATCATCGACGCCTACGGCATATTCTTTGAGAGACTCGTCGCGTCCTGAAGGTTGCCTTCTTGTCGATTTGGTGTTTGCTTGGAGGTATTGCACCAAGCCGTGAATATCGTCCTCCGTACCACGAAATATATCTTCCCAGCAAAACTCTTCAGTGAAGATGGCTGTTCTTGTGTTACACCCGCGGCGACACATGAAGACCTTGGAGTTTCGTGGTGCTCTCCCTGATGGATACCGTCGTTGGAACATATCGAATGATAGGACCGTCGCCTTTCCATTAATAGCGGTAAGAGGATTGATATCCCATGAAGGTGTTATGTAGAGCTCATGCTGCGGGTGTTAGCAATCGACCCGTGATGGTGTTCGGAGGCTATAGAATACCGGGAGGAAGTCGTTTCGCTTCTTCTTCTTCGTGATGATTTCTTTGTCCGTGGAAAACCACATGAACTCGGCTGCTTTTTCCCCATCTTCACGCTCTAAAAAACTGCAGATAATTGCTACCCAGGCCTCTTTTAACCCTTCAGCCTTCAGCAATACACACTCTCCGACGAGGCATCGAAATCCTTCCAGCTGGGCTCCGATGATTTTACGACCTGCACTTGGTGCATCTCTGACTTTGTGCTTGTGACTGGAGGCAATATCCTCGGGATGGGAGTTAGCTGGCTCCTCATACATCCATTCCCAAGGGATATCATCAGTGCCGAGTTCGTCGTCAGAGTCGTCTCTTGGAACCCCGGTGGGCTCTTTGAATTGTCGACGTGACGACGAATTTCGAGGTTTCGTTGCCATCGATATACTATTGAGATGCGCTGTGGATTTACGGAGTGCGCGCTGGGCAGAATAACCAAACAAAAGCTAGAAAATCGGGTTCGATGGCAAGGAAGTAACGTATCGCTAAACGATGCTTTAGATAGTTGGAGAACATCCGCGCTCCGACGACGCGTCAATGGAGGATCAGACGCGACAGGCCGTGAGCATAGACAGGCAACCTTGCTAGGTAATTAAAGGAACAAATTACAGGGACAAAATAGATCTAGGGCGTAATTGCATTTAACTATAGCTTAAAGAAAACTAAGATTAAGTTAGTAATTATAGAAAATATAAGCTATCTAGGAAATGAAACTAAAATTAAAGTAAATATTAAATTAATATTTATTATAGAAAATATAATAATATATTAAATTTTAAAGCTTAATATATATATATTCTACTTTATTATTCTAAATACTTAGATTATAAAAGATTTTTATATTTTCTTATTATAATATAGTTTTATTATAAGCTATATTCTTAATAATATAAAGGGATTTATATTTATATTACTCTTCTACCCTAGCTATAATAATATATAGCTAATTAATTATATCCTATATAGATAGGTATATAGAATATAATTATATTATTTATAAGTATTAAGAGGACTTAACTATTTATATAAACTTTAATTTAGTACTTTAGCTATACCTACGAGCTCTATACCTATAAGCTCTAAATAGGTAGGGTAGGTAGTATAAGACTTATAATATAACTAATACTATCTCTCTAAATTACTACTATTTATATAAGTTAGATATACCTATCTAGTTTATAGATTATATAAGCTATAATTTATATACTCCTAAGAGCTATAAATCCTAGCTATAGTATTACGGGCATAGTGGATAGGCAACTAGGTGGATCCTATTATATGACTATAAGTCGGTAATCATAGTCCCGTAATCACTAACGGGGATCACCTTCCCGTAATTACTACTAGATAATTATAGTATAGTAATCACGGAACTATAATAATTAGCCTTTATAAATCCTAATTATATAACTAGGGATTATAATATATATAGAGAACCCCTATATCCTCCTATAATAAGGAGGGATATCTTAATATAATACTATTATTCGAGTATTTAAGATCTAAGATTATCGGTCCCCGTAACCACGACTATATCATATAGTAATCCTCCAATAATTACTATATCGGTAATTACTATCCTAATTACTACCCTAGGGAATCCCCTAATATTAGTTCAATAATAAGATTAATAAGTAAGTAGTATATATCGCAACTCGAATTGTTAAACGTTCATTCAATGTACAATCAATGCGCAGCTGAAATCCTTACTATCTATAAATAACGCCGCCATACCACTCTCGATCTATATTGTACAGACTACACTGACAGCTTATAGCAGCATCCTCCTTGGATCCTCGATATACTCCTTAATCTTCACCAAGAACTGCACGGCCTCCCTCCCGTCCAGCAGGCGATGGTCGTAGGTGAGAGCGAGGTACATCATGGGACGAACCTCGACCTTGCCATTGACAGCAATAGGGCGCTCCTTGATGGCGTGGAGACCAAGTACGGCGGTCTGGGGAAGGTTAATGATAGGAGTCCCCATGAGGGAACCAAAAACGCCGCCGTTGCTGATAGTGAAAGTTCCACCAGCCATATCCTCAATCGTGAGCTTGCCGTCACGAGCCTGCAAATAATTAGCCATGTCACTCATGCATGAAGACTAAAAACATACCTTCTTGCCCATGTCGGCAATTGCCTGTTCAATGCCAACCATGCCCATGGACTCTGTGTTGCGCACGACGGGTGTCACAAGACCCTTCTCGGTTGCAACAGCAACGCTGATGTCGACATAATCACGGTACACAATGGTGTCGCCACCATTGGGTCCTTCAATTGAAGCATTCACGGCCGGGATGTCACGCATGGCGAGAACGGTCGCGCGTGCAAAGGCACTCATGAAGCCAAGCTTCACACCGTCCTTCTTCAGGACATCATCCTTGTAAAGTTTGCGGAATTCCATCAGCGATGACATGTCCACCTCATTGAATGTAGTCAGGGAAGCAGCAGTGTTCTGCGACTGCTTGAGGCGTTCTGCGATCCGGAGACGCATACGGTTCATTTTCACCTATAATGTGTTCGGTGAGTAATAGTCCATGGTTACCTGGCTGAAAAGACCGCAGCCAAAAGGGTCAACATACGCGACGTTCCTCACGGTTTCCGACCGTAGGACCAGAGCTCGAGCTCTCCTTAGCAACATCCTTCGAGGGCTTGCTTGTTTCCTTTGCTGGCGGAGCAGGCTTGCTGCTGCTACTGCCAGTTGCGGGTGCATCTTGCTTCGGCTCCGGCTTGGGCTCGGGTTTCGACTCAGGCGAAGGCTCGGACTGAGGCTTCTCAGCTTCGTTTCCTTGTTGGCTCGGTGTGTTTGATGAATCAGCCTTTGCCTCGGTGCTGGAAGGTGCTCCGCCAAGCTCTAGTCTGACGATGTCCTGTCCAACGGTGACGGTGTCCTCCTCATTGACGAGAAACTCTTTGATGGTGCCGGCTTCTGGTGCATTCACAGCGACGTCGATCTAGGCAAGCAGCCTCTGGTCAGCATGGAGGACGGACACAGCACAATGTTCGATTGGGGGCACCTTGTCAGTTTCAATTGTCGCAATTTCCTCGTCCTGTTCAACGTAGTCGCCAACCGACTTTTGCCATTGCTTCAATGTTCCCTCCGAAATTGACTCAGCCATCTGCGGGACCTGAACGATCTTGTCGGCATAGTTGCGCACATGTCGCATCATGATGGGCACCATCGCAATGTGTTGTGGCTGGCAACGACGCAGGGGCATCATGCGTGCCGCCGTGAGAACTCGTCTTGACATCATAATGAAGGTTAAAGCAAGAGATCCGGCGAAATAATGTTCGGGCGGGTTCGCAGAGTCGACGGTGGGCGTGTGTCTGAGGTGTTGATACAGTTATACGGAGGAGGGAGTCTTGGCTTAGCGAGGCGTAGAGGCCATGTTTTTATATAGTATAGCTGCCGGGAATGGAGGAAATGCTTAATTGACCTTACGGGTACCTGAGCTGGCCCGAGAGTTAGCGTTGTGTTCCGTACTGCTCCGAGGAAAATCTTGATAACGAAATATCTACCTATCGAATAGCTTAGTAAGTAGCTAGCACAAGTAGGGTATCAGGGAGCTAATGCCTATATCGGCTCCTTATACTAGCATATTAATAAAACAACATATAAGGGAGGCACCTAATATAAGAATATAAGTCTAAAGTAGTATATATTTAAAAAGGAAGTAAGATATATTATAATATATTTAACTTTAGAATAGAAATATTATTAAAGACCTTTATTAGGACTATACTTAGGGGTATATTATAGTAATATAAGATAGTTAAAGCTATCTCTAGCTACTTATAAAGAGTTAGATATTAGGAACCTAGTACCTATATATATTATCGCTAATATTTCAGTAATAGGCCTAAGTTTAAAAGAGAAATCAAGGCTATACTTAATAGCCTCGATAAACTAAAGTTAATATAATAGTTTATTTATTACTTATTAATCTATTTACTTTCCTTAATCTAGGCCCTTAGCTTAATACCTTTATATTCTTTAATTTCTATAACCTATAATTAGATTAAATTAATTAATAAATTAATTTAAGTATATTAGAACTTAAAAGTAAATTACTTATTATAATAAATATTATTCTAAGGATAAGCTAATAAGAATATTAATAGAATTATTAAAGGGTAACTATAATAGGAAGATTACTCTAAAACCTAAACCCTCTTTAGAGAATTATCGTTAAAATATTTAATGAAAAAACGATTTAAGCTAGATTATAAATATAAATTCTTTACGCCTTAATCTATAAATTCTATAATTAGAGGTATAAGAATAATCTCTAAATTTAAGGTTCTATTAATTATATTCTTATTATAAAGAATTATAATAAGCTATTTATTTATAAATATAAAATATTTAAAAAGGATATTATTATTATTTAAATCGATTATTAGTTTATTATAATTAGAATTAAAAATACCTTTTAATTTAATATAAATATAGCTTAAATAATTAGATAATTAATAATTAAATTTATTTATATTTTATAAGTAATATAATAAAATTATATTTAGAAGCTTAAAGCTATTTATAGAGAGGACCTTATAAGAGTTATAAGGAGTTAGAGTCTTATAACTACTCTAGTAGCTTAAATAAAAGCTAAACTATAACGATATATATATTATTAAAAAGAGAGAAATCATAGCTATAGAATAGTATACTTTTTATAATATTCTATAGAGCTATTCTATAATAATAAGTATTTAAGTTCTCTTATACCCTATTAACTAGAGCTTAAAATCCGACTCTACTTCCCCTATAGGTCTAGAGGTAGTCTAAGCACCTTATCTACGTATAGCTATTAAGGGTTAGAGTATTATATTATAAAGGTATAGGGCTAAGGGCCTAGATTAGGGAAAGTAATAGGATCGGCGAATAATCGGTAAGCTATTATATTAACTTTAACTTATCGAGGCTATCGAGTATAGCCTCGACCTCCCCTTTTAAACTCTAGCTTATTACTAAAGCGTCTACGATAATATAAATAGGGGTTAGGTTCCTAATATCTAACTCCTTATATTACCTCCCCTCTTAGAGGTCTAGTCCCTAGAACTTATAATACCTTTATTAATACGTCTTAGTACCTTAATATATTACTTCTTAGGCTTTATTCCCTAGTATAGCTATAACGTAGAGCTAAGTTAGATATATTATAGAAATTATAATAATAGTAATATTAATAATAGCCTAAAAGTAAGTAATAATATAGAATAATCCTTACTATTAATTTATAAGTAATAGTTTATCGTACTTATTTTATAAAGTTCTCTCTATTATATTTATAACTCTCCTAGATATTATTATCCTTAGCTTCTTTTAATAATCGATATTCCTATACTTATTATATTCCTATTTTATCCGCTTAATCCTATATTTACCCTTAATTACTTCGGTCTCTTTATCTAATCGTTATTATATCGGATATTACCCTTTAATTTAATAAAGTATATTTATATAATCCTTAATTAGCCTAGGCTTATAATCGCTAGCTTCCCGATACTAAGGCTAGGAACCCCTTATACGAGTACT